CTCCGACGATCGTGCACGCGGCGCGCGCACACCTAATGGAATGGATATGAGCAAGCACTCGAAGAAGAACTGGTAGAAATGCTGCAGGGCCAGGGGGTTGCTTCCATTCCCATAGAATCCATGCATGTGGCACGGCAATTTTACTTCCTGGGCTCCAGCTGGCAAGCACCTCCAGAGGCTCAGAGGGATCACAGGTTCAGCATAGAGCCTGGACAGCATCAGACTCCAGACACTTATGAACAGCAGAGTGCTGGTGCAACAGTGGGATGTCATGGCTCGTGTTCAGGACCTGTGAGGGGGCAGAGAAGAGAGAAACTCCCACACTCCCCCCATATATAGTGGGAGAGTCTGGGACCAATATTGCAGTGTGAACATAAAGCAGTGACTTACGTGAGGGTGGCCATAATAAGTCGAGGATTTCTCTGGCCTTTTCCTGCCTCAACATTGCGGTAGGCACTGCCAAGCCCACCCGATACATATTTTCCAACGGCCCCAAGCCGTTCCTTCTTGCTAGCCAAGAAGGGTGGCTGGCAGGATGGAGAAGAGAGTTATACTATTCCTTGTGGGTCAGGTGGTTTACTCTTCTACTCTTTGAGCTGTGAGGAATGAAACCATTTCCGCCAGGGTTTCCCATTTTTTCCATTTAGGATTTCTACCTGATAAACACTGGGGCTGGCCCGATTCACAATTAAGCAGGGGCTATGCCAGGTGAGTGTCAAAGAGTGCTCCTTTGCTGTACATTACTGGTTGGCCTAATTGCTACCCGCACAAAATTCTTTGTTACTTACACACTCTAGGGGCACCCACCTTTACCCAGTTCGTAGGGCTCCAGGCGAAAGGCACCTAACTTTACTACTCCATGGGCTCTGGGATCTACTCCTCCGCGGGCTCCAGGCAAACATCCTTTCCCTGTGGACTCAGAGCAAACACCTTCTCCCTGTTCATAGGGCTCCAGGTGAAAGGTACCTAACTTTACCCCTCCATGGGCTCCCAAATCTTTTGTCCATTGCAACTTCAGATGCTAATCTGTTGCAGTTAAGAAGCAATTCATTAGAAGGACAGAATGTTGGGAATAATTAAGACAGGGATAGATAATAAGACAGAAAATATCATATTGCCTCTATATAAATCCATGGTACGCCCACATCTTGAATACTGCGTGCAGATGTGGTCGCCCCATCTCAAAAAAGATATATTGGAATTAGAAAAGGTTCAGAAAAGGGCAACAAAAATGATTAGGGGTATGGAACAGCTTCCATATGAGAAGAGATTAATAAGACTGGGACTTTTCAGCTTGGAAAAGAGACAACCAAGGGTGTATATGATACAGGTCTATAAAATCATGACTGATGTGGAGAAAGTAAATAAGGAAATGTTATTCACTCCTCATAACACAAGAACTAGGGGTCACCAAATGAAATAAATAGGTTTAAAACATACAAAAGGAAGTATTTTTTCACACAACGCACAATCTGTGGATCTCCTTGCCGGAGGATATTGTGCAGGCCAAGACTATAACATGGTTCAAAAAAGGAATTAGATAAGTTTATGGAGGATAGGTCCATCAATGGCTATTAGCCAGGATGGGCAGGGACGGAGTTCCTAGCCTCTGTTGGATCACTTGATGATTACCTGTTCTGTTCATTCCCTCTGGGGCACCTGGCATTAGCCACTGTCGGAAGACAGGATACTGGGCTAGATGAAACTTTGGTCTGACCCAGTATGGCCATTCTTATGTTCTGAAGGAGTAGTCCTTCATCTCCATCTCAAGCTGTTGGTGCTGATAGCTTGATGAGTGAGGCGCTAAACTGCTGTACTCAAGGATTGGGATTGCCAGTCAATCCATGGACCATATTCAGTCCTGGCCTGAGAGTTTCCAGCTTCTGTTGGCTTCAATGTGGGTGAGAGTTAACTAGTCAAAGGGCTTGGCTGCAGAAGAAAGTTCCACCAGTTTAATCTAAAGTGTGGATTTAAACCGATTTAGTTAAACCAGTGCAAACCCTTGGGTGGACAGTTTTAGGCTATGTCTTCACTACCCGCCTGAATCGGCGGGTAGAAATCGATCTCTCGGGGACCGAATTATCGCGTCTTGTCGGGACGCGACAATTGATCCCCGAATCGACGCTTGTACTCCACCAGCGCAGGTAGGCATAAGCGCAGTCGACGGGGGAGCCGCGGAGGTCGATTTGCCGCCGTCCTCACAGCGGGGTAAGTCGGCTCGGATACGTCGAATTCAGCTACGCTATTCGCGTAGCTGAATTTGCGTATCTTAAATCAACTCCCCCACCCCCGTAGTGAAGACGTAGCCTTAGTTAAGTTTCAGAGTGGCTTATTAAACTCAGATAAGTGTGTCCAGACAGGAATTTGCATCGGTTTAACTAAATCAGTTTAAAGCACAATTTAAATTAAACTGGTGCAACTTTCTCATCTAGAAAGATCGATTTTACCTACAAACAGCATTTCTTTGAGTTGACTAAATTAAGGGCTTGTCTACACTGGCAATTTACAGCACTGCAACTTTCTCGCTCGGGGGTGTGAAAAAACACCCCCCTGAGCACAGCTAGTTTCAGCGCTGTAAAGCACCAGTGTAAACAGTGCACCAGCGCTGGGAGCTGTGCCTCTCCTTGAGGTAGTTTTTTAGAGCTCTTGGAGAGCTCTCTCCCAGCGCTGCACTATGAGCACACAAACCATGTTAAAGCGCTGCCGCTTTAGCTTTGCAAGTGTAGACTAGCCCCTAGTCTGCACAGGAACTCCCTTTGCTATCCTCAGTGTTTGACAACATTCTGTCCTGTATTATTCAGATAACTAGGTATGAATGTAACAACTTTCTCTTCAGTGGACCAAATTCTTCCCTGAGTTAACAGCTGTATTATGTTTCTTTATTCTGCTCTTTAATTATGTTCCTGGAATCTTGAGATGATACGCTGTAGGGTAGTTTGTGTGTGTGTGTGTGTGCAGGTTTGCATGTACGCTCTTGAAAATTCGCCCCACAAATCAGTTAGGGATATTTATACTGTGAGGTATGTATCTAATCTTGAAAGCAGTAGGGAGTCTCTAAAATTTCCATGAAGCAAGACAATGGAAATGATTGATTAGACAAGTTGCCAATGCCATTAGGACTGCTAGAGACAGCTAATTACCCTCACCACAAGGTATTATCACTCAAAATTATGTTAATGTTCAGAACATGTAGGAGAAATAATTTGATTACATATTTTAATATACTACTTAAAAATAACAAAATCACACCATTTCTCCACTTCAAATAGGTTATGATGTTAAAACTTCTTCAATCAGCAGCAATATCGTGTGGTAAATGACTATTTTAACATTAAAAGCCTGTTTTCCTCATTAGACTTCTACAGTCAAATTCACCATTGGTTTAAGCACTGGAGATACACCCACTTATACCAATAATGAATTTGGCTCATGGACTTTATCCCAATGCTATCAAAATACTAGCACAAAAACCATTTTTTTCTAAATGTAGTAAAAAGCCAAAACAGGCTAGAGACAGAATGTTCCAAAGTGATGTAGGCACCTAAATCCCATTGAAAATCATTGGGACTTAAGCTTCTAAGTGCCTAGGCCAGGTCTGAATTTTCAGATTGGGCTACTAAGTCATTTCAGAGCTTCTGAAAATATTATCCTATAGCAGGTTTTTTGTGTCAGACTTTTTGCAAATTGCTTATGGCTGCTGGAATATCAAACTACAATACAACAAAAGCATGAATGGAGGAAGTGAACATATGCCCACACTTTGAAATGCACTTCATTTAGTGTTTTTCTTTCTTTAGATAAAAACTGTAGCCATTTGAAGGAAATGGACGTCATCCAAAAAGCAGATGCAGATTGTTACTGTTATATGCAAAATGGAACAATGCACTTAAAATATATTTGGTCAGCTCTTCAGGTAAGATTCTGTGTTTGGAGCTTGCTTCAGATTTTTAATATGTTACATGTTTTCCCAGCAACCAATCTGATCAAGATATAAGATATCAGGTGCATCTCAGTATGAAGTCAGTCCGAGGGTTGCAGTTTGATGTCTTGGCAGTTTGATGTCTCTTATTTGTTGCACAGATGGGGGGCTTTATTTCTTTGCTAAGAGGCAGAGAATTGTCAACTCAACTGTGTTGTGTGTATTGGATGTTATATGATGACTTTTTGACAGCAAAATCAGAACAAGGCTACATAATATCAGATGCATATTTCCAATACTGACAGGAGTGGCAAGGGTGCACCTTGTAAGGTATTCACCTTGGGCTGCAAAGTACTAAGTCTCGACTACTTAGAAGCTTAGAACACCTCTTTAACCCCTGTGCTAAGGAGCAAATTCAGGATCTCCTCCTTGGCTCTTCTGAGTAGTTGACTCCCCAGGTGGGGAAAGAAACAGTTTCACTTCACCTCCAGGTGTAAGGAACTGGAGATTCCTCTTCATCCCTGCCCAGAACGTTTTTCTCCAGGCAGATACAATGTGTCTGGTCATTTTGATGAGCGGTGGCAGACTTTAGGCAGTGATCACATCCAGGAACTGGGAAAGTTTCTTGATGTAAATGCTTAAAAGTGGGCAGCTAAGATTTTCCCCAGCAGATCACTCTTTGCATTTCAATAAAGAAGCCTGTCTTATTAGATGAGATAATGCTTCTCCTTGTTGTTGGGCATCCATTATTTCAGATGCCCGAGCTCATTAGTTCACAATTTAAGCATCAGGAGGACTTTTCCTGTTCAGAAGGTAGAGAAGATCAGTGTTACAGCTCAGTCCTTCTCGAAGAGAAGAGGGCTGGATTTTTTATTCAGTTTTTGTCGCACTCTCTTTTGCTTTCTGACAATTTCCATTTTTGTTCTCCCTTAACATCTAATGTGCAGTTAGCATCCTTATCCACAAGAAGATTCAGGAACAGTGGGTTCATAGCCTATGAGAAAAGCGAGCCTGGGCATCTGCCAAAGAAAATGTGGGCAGTCAATGTTAGTAGTGTGTCAAACATCTGTAGCATCACAGTGCCCATGATGGAATTGTAACCTTAGGATCTGGTTCTTCAAATGGATCCATGCACCCACATGGGGGCCCACTGACTTCAGTGAGGCTGTATATGAATCATTAAGTACAGTAGGACTAGGTATCTGATTTAAGAGACTGCAGTGGGATTATTATTCCCTAGGCTTCTGCTCTGTTATTTCTCCCTATGTTATGTTCAAATACTGGGAGTGTTTTTGAAAGATACCTATCGATCAGAGTTCCTACTATGTATGTTTTGTTTTGCTCTGTTTACAGGTGAAAATTAACAGCACAGAAATGTTCAAGTTTGTGCCTATCACAGCTGAAAGCAATTGTCATAATTCAGAAACTATTTTTGCATTTTTCAAGTGTATTGTTCAAATCATTTGGCAATCAGAGGCATCTAAAGAAACTGTCATAAACATAAACCAATATGGAGAGAATGTGTGTTTCACAGTCCAACCCTACAAGAAAGTACCCTACACCGTGAGTGTACAACGGAACAGTAAGTAGAGTGAGGCTTTCCACTCATCCAATGAATGGGCTGGATAATATTGCCAACATTATTGCTTGAATAGTGCATTCTGAGTTGTAAGTTACCGTAATGGAACAGCTGAGACTTGTCTGATAATGTTTGCACAATTAAAATCACCCAGATGTATTAGCCTAAAATGCTGTTTTTTGGATTTTCAGTGGTGGATAAGAAACTCATCCTTTTGTTCGTAGCTGGTGTTTTTCTGTTCCATTTTGCAAACGCCTTGAGTAGGTAAGTATTAGCCCCTTTATCTTGGTATTCTTTCCAGAGTCATTGCATTCTTGGTGTGTTCCTATTCATGCATTGTCTTCTCTATTTATTTGTATAGCTCAATGATCCCAAGCAACTGTTTGTTTTTTAAAAAATGAAATAAGAAAAATGTATATAAACTATCATAATAACATAGCCATGAAGAGGAGAGATGTAATGTAAAGATTTTTCACTTGCATGGCTGTGTTAGGGCTTCCCAGATCATGGCTCCTAGCACTTGTGGGTGTACAAGGACTGCACCTGGGATTCTCCCTATGAGCAAGTGAGCAAAGAGTAAGTAGAGCCATCACCTCCCTCCCAATGAACCAATGAAGCCTGGGGGATGCCGCATAAAGGGAGGTTGCAAATTTCCCATCCCCAGAGTGTGGGAATCTTAGGGAGGAACTGTGTGTCCAATGAGGTCATCTGGGCCTCACGGTCTCTACTGCTCTCCACCTCACCCTATACTCATGGCTGCACATTAAAGAGCACAAGCTAGCCCTCATATTTTGTGTAGTGTAGCAAGGAAGATATTTGCAGTCATTTTGTTTCATGTGGAGTTTGGCATCGTACAGTCAGTTCATTTGTGACTCATCTCAAAAGTTCTGTTCCACTTCTAAAATTTGCGAATCACCAAATTTTAAACAGATTATGTCAAATTTTATCAAACCTTTGGATTTTGTAAAAATAAGTTTACAAAACCAAGAGAGTGTCTACATTTTCTTTTTATTTCCATCAAAACGTTTTTTAAAAAGTAAAATAAAAATATTCGTGCAATCCAAAAATTACAGCATTGTGGACAAGAAAATGAAATTGACTAGAAACATGATAAACAAAAGTGGAACTGGGGAGATGTTTTCACTGTTGAGATTTTGCGATATGGAAAAGTAAATAAAAGCTGAGATAAGGAAAAGGCAATGAGATTATTTTTAATTCTCACAACTCTAGTAATCTAATGCTGTTTGTTTTTTAAAGAGTACTAGATCCTCAGCTCCCTTGAGTTCACACTCAGCCCAGCAGAGGAGCTGGCTGGGACCTAATGTGACCCTTGTGTAACTTAAGAGCAGCTCTAAGTTTTGCCAGCTGCCCCAATCCCACAAGGTCATTTGGGCACCATTCAGGGACCAGCTGGAATGCCATGCACTGCCCCCCACCCTCCCACAAACCTCTTGCCACCCTAACACAGGGGTTGGGGACGAGCAGGCAACCTACAGCCATCTGTGATACCCAAAGATTCCTCTCTGTCAGGGAATTCTCAGCTGCCTCTTTATGGGAGTTTTCTGGCTGCCTCGTTCTGCCTCCGCAGTGCAAAGCAGATGAAGCCAGAGCTGAAAATCTCTGTGATTAAGTACAGCGTTACACTTTCTACTTCCAAACCAGTTGCAACTCAGTAAAAGATTTTTACAGTGTCCCCCACCTTGCTGTTCCCTAACAGGAGTGCTATGTTCTATTACTGTGCTGGAGTGGCATTGGGTGTTCTTGCTACGCTAGTCTTTATCCTGTTGACACTTAAAAGATTTATTCCAAAGGTAGGTGTACCATGTGGAAAACAAAATAGCAAATAGCAAGTCTAGAGCCAGATTCTGATCTCTCATTGGTTTTATGACAGAATAACTTGACTTTGATGGGGGTTTACTTCAGTGTAAAACCAGTGTACCTAAGATCAGAATTAGGCCCTAGATAGACTGCCCTCCAAAGTCTGAAATAAACTGTTACGTTTGCTGATGTACAATGACGAGCATTTATTCTGAAACCATAATTACAGGGGTGTGATTTTAGTCTGAGGTCAGTTTGCTTATGTCGTGAGTCAACAAATCAGTCAAAATGAAACCATAATTTTTGTGGCAGTTGTAACTTTGACTTTATTTTTCATATCCAGTAGCAAAATTGTCTGATGAAGGCAGGGCTGAATCTTATGCCACCCTTCCCCCCACCCCACCAATGCCTTGGTCTCTATAAAACATGTCAGAGTTAAGTATTAATTATTATTATTGTAATATACAGCTTCAAGAAGTTTGGACAAAAATCCCATGCAGTGGCTCCTCTTCACCTCACTTATCTTGAGACTTCAGAGCAGGATATAGCAGGGTTAACAAGTGAATCGGCTCATAAGCTCTACAGTACAGATAGTGCGTTTACCTGTATGTTTGTGAAATCCCTAGCCCACTGTGGCCCAATCCTGATTGGGACCTCTGGATGCTACCATCATATAAATAATAAACCACAAGCTAGCTGGTTCACTAACTATTTTCTTTTACTCCCAGCACAGCACCTTTGGGATTTTAATGAGTGGCTTCTGGATGTCCTCTCTCTACTTTATTTACTGTTTGAAAGGGGAAATGAAGTGGCTGTGGTCTGAATATAGAAACTACTTACTGGGTAAGAGAATGAGCAGAAATGTACAGCGGACAGGTTTTTGTTAAGAGGTCAGAACAAACAGTTTGTAAGAATTGCATCTGATTAATATTTTTCTCTCATGAATGTGAGGTGTGGGAGGATTCTGAATGCTCCTAATCCATTCAAATGAGCATTTATTCTCATTAGATCCTTAAATAGGGAGTTTGATGTTGGTTTGTAGAGGCATGAAGAAGAGGGAACGTTTTGCCCATTTTATGTTTCCAGTCATTTCCATTTCACACCCACCATGGAAGCAAAGAGGGAGGTGGTTGTGGGAGAAGACAGCTACCATCTCCTCTCTTGTCTGGAGCTTGGAGTGGGGGTTGTGCTGCCTGGAAAGGGGGAGTTGCCAAGGGGGCTGGGGAACCTATTGCTTCAGCACATTTCCTCAGCATCTTCCTTGGTCAAAACAACTGTGCAGCCTCTATTATCAGCTAAAGCCATCCTCCCTGGAGTTAGCCCCATCAGACAGTGGTAATGGTAGAAACAGTGCTATCTTCCCTGAGCACAGCAAGCATCTCTGGCACCTGGAGGTGCAGCTAGGGTGCACTTATTCTTAAAGCATTTACTAATATAGGAATAAGGAATTCTCATGCCCCCTGCTGGCCTAGGGGGAGAGAGATTGGGATACAAGCTCGTAACTTGGTTCTCCCCCTTTGCTCTCGCAGTACAGAGCACTGCTCTTAGGCCACTATGCCAGCCCCTTATGCTCTGTGCCTGTTAATATTCACGAACTGCTTTTGACTCAGTTGAATACGATATCGTTTTTCAATTTTTTTTTATGTTCACTCACCTTTGCTTTGGTGGCACCCCCGAAGCACACAGGGAAAAGTACAGTGAGAAAAATTGTTCTTGCAGAATTGCCAGCATGGCTGAAACCAAAAAGTACAGTGTTGAATAAGCATGGACTCCTTTGGATGCTTATCCAAACTGAAGCTCCAGACCTTTCAGCATTCACTCTTCACCAGTTAGGAGGGGAACCATGGCTTGCCCACATGCTTTTAGCATGAGTGAGATTAATTTGATACACATACTGTATTTGCAAGCCTATCAGCTTCATTTCCAACATTTTATTTGAAAATAAATACTGACATTGTTAGTATGGAGCCTAATCCATGCATATGTTTACACAAGTATTGAGGTATAATTAGGACCTTTCAACAATGCAATTGCACACCATTCCTGCAATTGCACATACAGGTGAATTAAACTGATCATTTTAATAACCATTAAATTCTGACATGTAATTGTATTGCTAATGGTGTTTTAGAATGCCTACCGCCTTGGATAAGCATTGTAAGTTATGATTTAAATCTGAACAAACAAACATATAGGATATTTCGGCACATAGATAGCCAGTTATGCCTTTAACTTGCCATCTGCACATGCAGATACACAGTTTGCATATGCAGTCATCGTAATTACATACTCAAGTCCAGTGTGCCACTGTATGCATTTTTTTGCATATGTATTTTAAATATCAGGCCCCTCATGTTCCCAAAGTACATAGTAGACAGCATGAGGAGTAACAGTGAGATTTGCTGTGTGGCAGTTTTAAGCTGTCAGTCTATTATTAAAGTTAATCCTTTGTGTCATTCTATATATGGCATTTTTTTCTGCTTTCACAGGGTATTTTCTGACTGTTGGATTTATCAGCTTTGTGGTTTGTTACAAGCATGGACCACTTACCAATGAGCGAAGCATAACCCTCTTGACGTGGACATTACAATTAATAGCCTTTGTCTTGATTTATTTTGGTGTCACCATCCCACAGGTTGCATATGCAGTAATAGCTATCATCCTCTGTTCAAAAGGCCTGTGCTATCCCCTTGGCATGGTCTGCTTTGTGGGCAGGTTGGTATCCATTTTCTGAACGTATAAGTCACTGTATTATAAAGTAATATTAAAAGGTTAATAATAAAACCCACATAAAATGACAATTATCTGTCAGTTACTAATCCTAGTACATATTCTTACCTAATGAATACTTACATTAGAGACAAGGCTCGAAACCCCAATGCATAAGAATTTAATAATTCTCAATGCAGGAGTTTTAAGCATGGATCTTGCTGTATAGAGAACTGTGACTATAACCTTCATAAATACAAATTGAACAGCTTTTCTGCAGCATCTGGTAACTGATGGCTTTTCATTCGATTGATTGGCTAGACTGCAGTGACAACATCATGGTTTAATAGGTCTGACAGGACTTTGATTTTTAACAAGAGTTACCTGCAGATTCCTATGGGCCAAAACACTTACCACAAGATGCCATGAGATATTGACATTAGGATATTCTGATAAAACTGTAGGTTAATTGGTCATCACTGTCAAGGGTAGAGTTCAGGGGTGAACTCCTACCGCTATTGAAGTCAATGGGAGTTTGCTAGTGACTTCAATAGACCCAGGTTTTCACCCCAGATGTCCTTATTTACTCTTACCAGGCCCCAACACTATACTGAGCTCAATAGGGGCAGAAACCTGGACCTGCATGGAGCCCACTCTATAGAAGTGGGGCTGTGTGCTGGAGCTGGGGTCCACCCATCTGGAGCTGCTTCCAGGATGGAGACCATAGTTTGGAACACTTTTCAATCCTGTTTTTGGCTTTCCTGTATATGCGGTGTAGCCACATGGGAACAAGCTTCTGTTTGCTATTGTCCTGTGAATTTAAAATATGTTTTATCATGTCAACAGTAACACACAAATGATGATTCTAAAGGCAGTCCCAACCTGTTACACTGAACTAAGGAGCCTACGGAAAGTCAAAGACTGAAGCTGGCTTTACAACAAACCACAGCAACTTACTTACTTATATTTTCTATGCTTTACCACCGCTTGGTTTTTAAAAACCATTTTAATATTTCTTTGCCTTCCCCTAGAAGCTTGGATAAGTGGTGGGTTTGGGGTTTTTTAGCACAACTTGTCATTTGACAAACACAGATTTTTCCACCCCAGCTGAAAAGAACAACCTGCTTTAAACAGCATCCTGTAAGAACATTTATCTGCTGTAAGTGGTGCTCAGCTCCCTCTGAAGTCAATGGGAGAAGTACCAGTTTAAACCAGTGCTGAATGTAGCCAGAATATACCTTACCGTCAGTATATACTCCGACATGTCAAAGTGTCTTTGTTTCTGTGCTGACCCCTGGCATGATTTCAGTTTTTGTTTTGACTGCTCCTGCAGAGCCAAGAGAGGGGTAGCACATACAATATAATACGAAAAATCTCTTTCAGAAAGGAAGTTTTTGATGGGTTTTACAAACAGTACATTTTAAAGTTATTTGTTTGTTACTTAATTCTACAGAACAAACCCAAACCTTGACGGTTTGATAAAAATGATCACAGAGGAAGCAAGCTGCATAATTCAGTTTAGTAGCCATCTGCACATACTGCTGATAATCTGCTCTCCTAGTAAGCTCTAGAACCTGGTCCCATTAGACCACTGGGAGCTTTGTCACTGACTTCAGCGGCATCAGGATTTGACCCTTACCACACGAACAATGACAAACAAGAGCCTCGATCCATTTCCCATTGTCTCGAGGGAGTAAGTCAAACACAGCTGGCTAGCGCAGGTACATTCATATAGAGCTTAAACTCTGTTTATGGGCATCCAGCCCTTGCTCGGCTTAACCCCAAAGTTACCACAACAACAAAAATGGAAAGTAGTCAATAGAAGGGAACAGAACACAGCAGACTGTCTAAGTGATATCTAAATACGTTATAAATTACTACGCAGCATCATAACAGCTACATCAGATTATAAATATTTTTGTCTCAAACTACTCAGCTGTGTAATTTTAAGGCGCAAGTAAACAATATGAACAATTTGCAAAAGATTTTAAGAGCACTGTTCATCTGCAAAGTTCCAAGCGCACACTGGGCCTGATTTTCAGCCCCATCGTCCCTGTGTGCCTATTTTGCATGTGCAAATCCCTGTTGCACCTGTAAATGGCTAGATAAGCATCCATTTATTAGTTTCCATCAGGGTTCTCTGTATATAAAGGACCTTTTGAAAGTCAGTGGGACTTTGCATTGACTTCAGTGATTTGGATCCGACCCAAACGAGGCAGGCAAATATACATGGACCTTGGGAATGAAAATTAGGCTCATTATGTTGAACTTTTAAAGTAGCTATTTGTCTCTCCCTCATGCAAAGGCAAGATGATGTTATGCTGTTCCCTTAATAGTAGATGCCAGAAAGAAAGAAAAGGTCATAGTGATGTGGGGAGCAATGTATTTGTAACATGTGCGATAGATTTGGAAATATGAATTGTGTTTCATTTTGTTTTAGAAAAATCAAGAATTTTTTTAAATCAAAAAAACTAGTGTTTCAGCTTCTTACTGAAGAAGAATACAGGGAGCAGGGGGAAACAGAGACTGTGAAAGCCTTGGACGAGCTACGCTCATTCTGCTTGAGTCCAGATTTCTCATCCTGGTTAGCCGTGTCCAAACTCCAGTCCCCTAAAAAGTAAGAAAGACTCATCTCTTAAAACTGAATGTATTTTATAGGCACTGTTACACAGAAGAGCCAAAATTCTCCTTAAAGCTGCATAATTTATAGGCCTGATCCTGCCAACACTCAATCAAACATGTAACTTTGTTCACGTGAATAGTCCTGTTGGTGTCCCAGGGCACAGATCTTGCAGCTTAAAGGGCTAAGGTGGCTTGAAGGGACCTCTGTGCCCTTCTGGTTCTAGGCTGCTGGGTCCTCTCAGCTAATTTAGACAGACCTGGGAGCCTCTCTAAGTTATGGCAGCCTAGAATCTCTGCAGTGATGCCTGTAGCCCTGTCCCTGATAGGATCCTCCCATTCCTGCTCCTGGTATGCCTCCTACATTGGGGCTTGCAAAGGGTTCCTCAGAAAGCAGCTGGATGGCTGTCCCCACAGTGCCTGCTTTGGTGGGAATCATCCCCTGGCTGGGTATGGAGCTCTTAGGATCCTTCTACACTGCTTCCCAGTCTTGTACATGGTGTAAAGGGGGCAGGGTGGGAGTGAGGATCTCACCCCAAATGCTGACAGGATCTGGCCTTATAATCAAGTTTCTGCATTACCAAACATAAACCAGTTGGAGTGACAGCCAATGTATCTTTTTCCATAGGCTGAGCACTGGTCTACATGACACAGGTCGACATAAGGCAGCTTATGTCGACCTAACTATGTCAGTGTACACACTACATAGAATCATAGAATATCAGGGTTGGAAGGGATCTCAGAAGGTCATCTAGTCCAATCCCCTGCTCAAAGCAGGACCTAATCCCCAACTAAATCATCCCAGACAGGGCTTTGTCAAGCCTGATCTTAAAAACCTCTAAGGAAGGAGATTCCACCACCTCCCTAGGTAACCCATTCCAGTGCTTCACCACCCTCCTAGTGAAAAAGTTCTTTCCTAATATCCAACCTAAACCTCCCCCACTTCAACTTGAGACCATTACTCCTTGTTCTGTCATCTAGTACCACTGAGAACAGTCTAGATCCATCCCCTTTGGAGCCCCCTTTCAGGTAGTTGAAAGCAGCTATCAAATCCCCCCTCATTCTTCTCTTCTGCAGACTAAATAATCCCAGTTCCCTCAGCCGCTCCTCATAAATCATGTGCTCCAGCCCCCTAATCATTTTTGTTGCCCTCTGCTGGACTCTTTCCAATTTTTCCATATCCTTCTTGTAGAGTGGGGCCCAAAACTGGATACAATACTCCAGATGAGGCCTCACCAATGCCAAATAGAGGGGAATGATCATGTCCCTCTATCTGCTGGCAGTGCTCCTACTTATACAGCCCAAAATGCCATTAGTCTTCTTGGCAACAAAGGCACACTGCTGACTCATATCCAGCTTCTCGTCCACTGTAACCACTAGCTCCTTTTCTGCAGAACTGCTTCCTAGCCATTCGGTCCCTAGTCTGTAACAGTGCATGGGATTCTTCCGTCCTAAGTGCAGGACTCTGCACTTGTCCTTGTTGAACCTCATCAGATTTCTTTTGGCCCAATCCTCTAATTTGTCTAGGTCCCTCTGTATCCTATCCCCACCCTGCAGCATATCTACCACTCCTCCCAGTTTAGTGTCATCTGCAAACTTGCTGAGGGTGCAATTCACGCCATCCTCCAGATCATTAAGATATTGAACAAAACCGGCCCCAGGACCAACAACCATTAGGGCACTCCACTTGATACCGGCTGCCAACTAGACATGGAGCCATTGATCACTATCCGTTGAGCCTGATGATCTAGCCAGCTTTCTATCCACCTTATAGCCTTGCGCCCACCGATGTAAGTGCCCTACTACACCAACATAACAACTCCACCTCCATGAGAGGCATAGGAGAGCTTATGTCAGTGTAGTTAGGGCGACGCAGTGTCCATGTAGACACTGTGTTACTGGCATTGGCTGTTGGCAGTCATTCTCCAGGCTCTCTGCTTGGAGCTGAGCTGCCCCCGGGCTCCTGGCTGGGAGCCTGGCTGCTCTGAGGCTTCCACCTCCGTGCTGGAAGCCCATGAGGCTGTCAGCTTGGAGGCGGGAGCTGGGGGGCAGTGAGCAGGGAACAGAGAGCGGGGAGGGGAGGAGAGAGCTGGCAGGGAGCCTGGAGCCTGTGGGGCAGCTGGGCTCCTGGAGGGGAGCAGCAAGTGGTGCGGAGAGACCAGGCTCTCAGCTCCCCACCCCGCCCCTCTTAGGTCAGTGGAAGCACTCCACGAACTGAAGGAGGGTTGTGTGGACATAAACCACCAAAGTAATTACTGCAGTGGCTATAAAGGGGGCAGAGTGGGAGTGAGGATCTAATATAGTATTTATTGTAGACATGCCCTGAAATAGGACTAGGAGTGCTGTGGAAATAGCATGCTCTGCCCCTGGGAATCTGAGTGGATGGAGAGACTGTGTCTGGAACAGTTCAACAGAGACACCGCTAGCAAATTAGAAGAATGATGGTGGTAGGGTGACCAGATGTCCCGATTTTATAGGGACAGTCCCGATTTTTGGGTCTTTTTCTTATATAGGCTCCTATTACCCCCCACCCCCTGTCCCGATTTTTCACATTTGCTGTCTGGTCACCCTAGATGGTGGGCTATAAAGGAGAGGCCATATAAAATGGGGGCTGGCAGCCAGAGGAGTTAGGGACATAAGACCCAGAATTCCAACATGCTTATCCGAAAACCAAAATTAGAACTGTAAAATATTAGCAGCAGGGCTCTAGGTATTATGCAGCCACAGAACTCACCCATGCCCCTGAATTGTGCATCAGAATTTAAAGCACCATCAGCTTGGAATTTAATGTGTTATCAAAACTGAGTTCAAAGGAGTTTCGGGAATGGGAACTGCACCTGCACTTGGCTTCCCATGACACTTTCTGTAGTCAGGTTTTTGTAGTTTTCAAAAATGTCTGTCTCGCTTATTACCATGGAAAAACCCATACCAAGCAGAGGGAAAACTAACTGGTTATGTGCAACATGCTGCCAAATGCACAAAGTAAACAAAGCAAGGAGATATTTTTCTCCAGTCACTTTTAGTTATTCTCAGGAATTATTTGTAACAATAGTATGTAAAAAAGAGAGTCTGGCAGAAGTCTGATTCTTAAGTTGACTGTGTCGCTAAGCTTTCATTAAAGAATAATTATATTTCTTCCTCTTGTGGTAACAAAGAAAACCTACAAATGAAACCAAAGCAGTGATGTCTGCCTGAGTCTGAAGTACATTTGTAAGAAGAGTGAACAGCCCTCTTCAACTCATTGAAGTTTTAGCGCAGAAATATAATGACAATGATATGAATATTAACATTAATTATTTAACTTGTGATCACTGTAACAGAGCTGTTTCGCTAATGTGCTTTTCTTACAACCCCTCACCAAAAGTCCCCCACTTTCCAAAAAACTCCAGCATCCCCTCTGACTTCTGCAGTGCAGCTGTCTTTTATCAAAGTAATATTGGCAGCATGTCAAAATGCATGGGCCAGTGTCAAATAAATGGAATATAAACTCTCAAGTAGTACACAGAATATTACTGTACTATTTGTTTTCGTGTTTTATTCAGTGAATCCTCCATTTTGGAGTTTACCTGGAGCTGCTGCAGAAATTCCAGCCTGTCACACCAGAGCGCCATAGAGAGCAGCGATCCTGCTGCAGGGTTTAGGCCCAGTTGCTGCAGAGTCTACAGGGCCTGGCTGTACGCGAGGCTGTAGTGCAGGAATTCCTGGGTGTTGAGCTCTTGCACTTGTTTCTGTCAGGAACAGAGTATCAGCACTTCTTGAATTCAAATAAAGGGCTATGTAAGTTACAGGGGTTCTCTCTCAAGTTCTGCACAGACATTAATGAATCCTCATAACATTCTTGGGAAAAAAGTATTATTAGCCTCACTTTGCTAATTGAGAAACTGAAACTGAGAGAAGGCAAGTGACCTACATAGGTCTACACCGTGAGCAGTAAGAGCTGGAAACACAGGTCAGATGTGCCTGGCTCAGTCACTGTGCCCTACTCGCTCTCTAAGGAACCAAAATTACTTAATTAAAGCATGAAGCAAAGACTGAAAACATTTGAAAGGAGGATGATGAAGGAAAACAGCTAACTGAGGTGACAGAGTTCAGTACTGGATGCTGCCCTTTACAATTTACCCTCTCGTGTGTGTGAATCCTTAGCTCAGGCTTAAACTCCAGCATGCCATGGGGGCATGATTCCTGCTTTGAATGCTGTCTATACACATACCCAAAACATGCAGGTCTCTGCTCCAAGTCAGCTTTAATTGGCAGCATTCTGTGTATTTGGTTTTCTTCCTGCCTGATCCTTTCCCCTTTTTAAATCTGGCAGATTTGCAAACTTTATTTTGGGATCTCCCCACGTGTCACCTGCAGAAGCGAACGCATATGATGAGCTATATGGCATTGGAGGCTCCTTCTTGGAACAGCAGCTCTTTAGCATAGGGCCAGAGCCAGAGCCGAACCGACTAGCTAATTCCATTCCGGAGGATGATTATGAAGATGATGATGAAATACAGGAACAAAATGAAAGTGAAAATGTTTCATACTCCAACAGTATTGGATTATTCTGAACCATTTGGAAAATCCCCTGGAAGGAAAGAAAATGAAATCAAGTTGGAAAGGAAGGCTACCTAGGCTAAATGCGTGCTGTTTCAGAGAGCCCTACTTCTGACTTGGCTGTAGAGGGCAACCAAGATTCTTTGAAGGATTTATTCCGGCTTCACTGTTCAAAACAGTAGTAAGTTGCTTGGTTTCTTAAGTGAATGTTACGTTCATGTAGTTGGTATTTTGTTACCTCACCTGTTTATTTACAGGGCAGGTACCAGGCAGCTGCAGTGCAAACTTGTCCCACCACTGTACCTCAACTCCCTTGAAGAGACTGCCTCTATAGAGGTCTGTTCTCTCTCCATGCCCTCAGTGCTGGGAGTGCCAGATGAAGAGGAAGTCATTTATGATGCACTTTTACTAAGTGCTCTATCTGCTAATAAATTCCTTTGAACTCCTTTCCTAAGGTGTCTTGCTTACCGCTCTGATCCCTCCATCTCACCTTCCATGAGTTTTAAGTTCCTCTCCCTCTCGAGAGCCCTGCACAACTGTGCTCCTCTGTTTCATTGCTCTTCCCTTGGCCTTTCTACGCTAGCCAAGCCACACACCTAGCCCCCACCATCTTTGTTTCCTCTCCCACCCATCTCTGCCCTCTTCATTGTTGCCCCCTGTGCCAAGGGCCCTCCACCTGATCCAGTTCTCCATCTCCTCCTCTGGGAACTGCAGAGGGAAATGTGTTTTCCCCAGTGTATTCTTATTCTTCCTTTCAGCCTCAATCTTCCCCCACAACTAACAAAACCCCAAACCAAAACAAAAACCAAAACCCCACCATTCCAGCCCCACAAGTGTGCTCAGTAAAGGCCATGTAGCCTGGGACTGTATTAGCTGCTCCAAGGAGTCTCCGTTGGTGCGGGTACCTGGGGTAAGGATGGCCAGGGAGAAGCTGAAGCTATGCGGTACAGAGCACCCATAAGTGGCCCTGGTGTCCTGGGAATCCACCAGCTTTGGCATTGGGTCCTGCAGCTCATTTCATGATTGGGAAGAAACCTTGCCCCCAGGACCACAAGCAGGGAGGAAGTGCTGGATAGATCCTCCTGGAGATCTCCTGACCGCGTGGCCTTCTCCAGGGTTTACCTCAGGGGGTGAGGATCTTACCCTGGCAAGAAAATAATTACAGTCAACTGCCAACATCCATTTGAGAATAGGAGATTCCTTCTGTGGGTATCTATCCTCCCCTTACCCTTGTACAAATGGGATCTCCCTCTCTGTTGTCCTTCAGACTGTGTTCCTTACCCCTCACTTTTCATGCACACACTGCTTCCCATTAACCCCACTAAGTATCTCTTTGTAGGAGAACGGGGGCCATCATTTCTCCCCCCAACTGCCACTCCAAAACCCTCCAGGAACTGTCCCATTCCAACATTCACCTCTTTCTAAAAGGTGTCGCTCCGCAGAACAGGCTGCGCTGGGTTTGAAGCCAGGCTGACTCTGTGGGCACACTCAAAAAGAAAGTTTCCCTTTGCTGGTGAACATGCTTGGAGATGTCTCAGTTGCTAGTCTCCCCATAGGGGGGTGGGGGGTGGGGGGGGAGACACGAGATGGAACCCAAATAGCAAAAAACAGTGCTAAAAAGAAACAGCTTACCATATACATGGGTGCCTCCTTACACTGAAAAGTCATCAGAGCTTGCCTTTATATTAGCACTTCCCAGAGAGAATTATAGGGAGACTCCAGGAGGCTCTAGAGTTTAAATTAAAATTTTAAAACGAGAATTTTTCTGTTTTTCAGTAAAGAGAAGCCTAACACCTAATTAAACACCATTAGACCATCTCGCTCATTCAGGAAGCCAAGCTCATTCTATAGCCATACAGCGGGTGCGTGAGAGAAGATAAGCCCTACTTATTAAAATTTATAAACCAAACTGGGACCATGATTATGTTAGCAGCAAGAGGGCTCTACCGAACAAGTCTGTAATTGTCACCAATAAAATACGGGGGGAGGACTCTGCTAGATTCACAGCCACATCTCTCCATCCCAGTCCCGGCATCATATTGGGCTTGCTTTGGTGCTTTCTACTACTAGCAAGATAAACCCATCACAGTAGTAGATACATTCACCAAACAGTGGTCAGAACCACAGGAGAGGTGGATAAAGTCCAAGTTCTTTGGCTGCCTTGCGGAGGGGTGGATCTCTCCTCGAGCACAATGGCCTTACATGGCTGGAGGAGGTTTATGTTACACCTGCATAGTTGAAGCTAAGTACTTGAAATGTATTGTTATAAATATCTGGCTCGTCAAGGAAAGGCAATGTAGTAGGACACATTTCAGGCTCTCTGCTCCCTACTGAAGCAAGTAAAGGATTTTCAGCCACAGTGCTCAGGTGGCTGAAGGTTCACAATCATGATTTTTTTTTTTTAAGGGACATATCTTGTCCCAATTTAAATCCAGGCAACCCCCTTGAGCTTTATGAAACAAAGCAGCTAATAGATTGGTGGTGATGCCCCCACACATGAGTATATTATCCTTGTGAAGAAATGTACTACCCCTTTAAGGGACAGGCTGGAACCTACAGCTAGGACCGCCTGGGGTGTAATCAAGGAGACCCTGCTCCACCCTAGGGCTGGGCTAGATAAACAGAAAAGAAACTGAGCAAGAGAGAGGGAAGTAGAAACTGTGCATGTGATAACAGGTGTTGGTTGTTTTCTCTCAGGCTAGTCGTGTCCTGGAGCTTAACTAGAGGCTTTGTTTATGGATTTAAATTTTGAAGTTGAAACAGGTTCTGAGGTGAGGACCTTATGGGCGGGTTTTAATTGAATTACTCCTGTCCTGAAGCCTTGATAAAAGAGAACTTTATGTTGTTAGTGTGTGTTAGCTCCCCTCCGGGTGTTAAAGTAAACCTATGGCCCCCCCAATCAGGGGAAATGAAGGAGGGGGGCACTGCTGCAGTACCAAACTGAGCCACAAGGTGATGTACAGGGACTGCCTGCACCTCCATAAGGATATAGTCACATAGCTCACTATTAACATTAATATGTTCACTGCGGGGAAAAAAACCAATTCAATACAGTTGAATTTTTCCTGCACTTTACCTGTTTTCTCAATATTTTTCAGTAGATGATCAAGTAGGGTGGCTGCTTCAATCACCTCGCCCCGCACCCCCAGGGGAGAAGAGCAACAGCAGCCTGAGATACACACAAATGTTTTAATGACTAGCTCACAAAGAACATTAAAACAAACCTTTAAAGCCTCCAAATATCGCTAAGATCATGAACTTTGAGGATTTATGAATGTTTATCTATGTACTTATAAACAACCCCCCCCAATCACCCACTTGGTTTCTGAGCACTTTACAAAACACTGGAATTTATCCTCTGGCACTCCTATCTCACTGGCACTCCTGTGAGATAGGTTGGTACTATCCCCATTTTAGAGGAGCACTGCGAGAGTTGAAAGTGACATCCCAAGGTCACACACGAAGTATTTGTGAGAGCAGAACCCAGATCTCCTAAGCCCCAGGCCTGTGTCTTTACCATTAGAGCATCCTTCCTCCCTTAACGAAGGCTTGTATACTATTTTATCCTCTGCTTCATTTATTTTTTTCCACAATTTCAGGTTTTGGAAATATATGAATTTCATGTACAGTGCACTCGACACACTATGCTGTGTCAAGCTTTTAAATAAAAATATTTTTCAGCTAGCAACGTTTGCTTGGTTCATTTTAACCACTTTATGAAAACAGTACACGTCACAAAGAGCAGTCAGACAGGTGGGTGCACCTGTCCTTTGGGGGGACGTTGAGGTCCTTTGGTCTTGTATCTCACAACACATCTAAAGGGTGCAGTTCCCCTGCTGCTTCAAAAAAGTGTTTCTCTATTTCCCCCCAACCCCCAGAGAAGTGTTTGCATAGAGTGAAATCTTCCCAGCCTTCTCCATGCCCACCCAGAAGAGCCAAACCTCAGCAGAACCACAGTGTGGTGATAGTAAGATAGGTACGGTTGAAGAGGAGGAACATAAGAATGGCCTTACTGGGTCAGACCAATGGTCCATCTAGCCTAATATCCTGACTTCTGACAGCAGCCAATGCCATGTGCTTCAGAGGGAATATACAGAACAGGCAATCATCAAGTGATCCATCCCGTCATCCACTCCCAGCTTCTGGTTGGGGTTTGTAGGAGATTTCCCCTTAATGAGTATGGAAGATCTATAGATTCCCAAGGTCTCCCCCTTCTGCTGCTCCCACATGCCCCACAAATTAAGCAGTCGGAAGAAAAAAGCAAATTAAATTTGTTCTGTCAAGATAAACTTCACTGTGCCAACAAACACTGCTACTGGACACACTGGTGCAAATATATTCATTTAGTTAGGAATTCGCAGTTAAGAGGACTAGAATCAGACGTTGAAGATGGCTGCTTAAATGGGTTTATTGGGGCTAAGATACAAATATTCAGAAAGTTATGAAAATGTGGTTACAAGTGGCAGCTGAGACCACTTTCTACTTTATCTCTTGGCCTGCAATAAGAAGAACTTGCATAACTCAAACCACACTCATCCATCTATGCCGGGCTGTTTGGGATGCACTGACCCCTTATAGATCATCCCACTACTAGCTTTCCATTACCATGAGACTTGGGTGATTTGCTCCTACATTCTGCTCCCTCTCACAAACAGATTTTGATTTGAGATACTGATTTGCCTTTCACCTCACATACATTAAGGCAACGCAAAATCTTTCATGGGAGAACCTTGCCAAAGCTGTTTAGGATTGATTTTTTTTAAAACTCAGATTATCATCAGGTATGTGGCCAATATGTGATTACGCAAAATGGGAAATTTAATAAAAATATTCAGACAGGTTCTTTTAAACACATTATAGATATTTTATATTTTTCTTACTGCACTTTTACAATTTTCACAAATATCAAAACCCATGTGTACATGTTCACTTTGCAACAGGGAATGAATGTACAGTTCCAAAAGAGCAGGCATTTCAAAACAACAATTTGGAAGTGTAAACACAATATGTAAGATATCCACCTCGCAATGTAGGTGCTGTTCAGTAGAAGTTGAGGTAACACCATATTGCATTAACTCTGTATAAATGTTTTCGCTTAGCTGAGAAGATTTAACACCTTTAGCCTGTCACCCATTCAGTTCTCCATTCCCAAAATGTTATACAAACATACAATAAATACATTTCTGATTTTAAAGGACACTTCAACGAGTCATGAGAATTTACAGTACAGTACATTTAAGTTCAAGTGCAAAACATAACTAATGGCTAGTTATTAGCATTTAATTGTACTCTCTTTGTGGTGCTGGTCCCAGGCACCAATGTGTGCGCTCGACCTCAGCCTCATAGACCTTGCTAAGGCATGTGCGAGGATAGCAGGGGAGGCCTTAGTTCATCCAACTGGGGATCAAAGGGTCTGGAATTTCCACTCACCGCTTCATTCTAAACCATCATTCTTCTCTTCCTCCCTCACACCCAGCTGTATCATGCCACAGGCTGTGCACTGAAGTCAAGTGAGGGCAGCATGCACCTTCTGCAAGGAAGCCTGTTGAGCACGTGTCTGATTCCAAGACAGGCTGAGCACCTGCAGTTCCTAGTCACTTCAATGGAAGCTACATGGGCTCAGCCCCTCAGGATCAGTTCAAGGATGTGAGACACTGGGACAAACACTGTCCTGACTAACACCCCATGCCAGCCCATTGATTTCAACCTTGAACCCAAGTTCTCCTCTCAGCAGCAATCTGTGTTATGAACCAGCCAGTGGGCTGGCTACAGTTAACATTGAAAAGCATGACTAGACATAACTCAAAATCTTCCAGTGTCTGACACTGTCTGTATAAAACAAGTCTCTAAACATACGGTCAATTTAATCATGTTTCTTTATTTCGGAGGGTTTTGCTCATTGAAACTCCTGTTAACAGCATCTCCCCCTCCCTACCCCCAATCATTATGATTTACAGGCAATTCCCTCCCCAGGCACTTGAAGCTCTTATTATCTTCTATACATAACCACAGTAGGAACACTTAGTTCAACAATATTTAATATGATGAAACAAAAAATAAAATAAAAAGATATTTCCAGTGGACACTCTCAATCAATCTCAAACTGCCCAATCTTGACCAAGGTCTGTGGTCTTGGGCATATCATCAAACCTAAAATTATACACACATACATTTAGCAAACACCCCGTTTAGTGAAGGGCTGTAAGCATACTGAGTTGATTTAACCTCACCTCTATTTGGTTCTTTCTAAAATGCCCTTTTCAAAAGTTTATGCCTTGCCAAACTAAACCTACCTCTCGGAAGAGCGTTAATGGCAGCTTTACTATTCAAAGATTCCACTTGGTGTCACTTTATCCATCACCACATTATAAAAACATTCTTGCTGAAGCTATTCCAGGTTTTTGAGAAGTCTTTGCAAAAGACTAGGCTGCACCTTTATTTATGTATTTACTTTGTCTAATGTCTCTTAGTTTATTTAACTTTTCCAGGGAAATGCAATTTTTCTCCTAAAAAGAAAGACTATAGTGTTTTCTTCTCCAGTTTAGTTTCTCTGTGGGGAAAAATTAAATTTAAACTAATTGATCAAATAGGGGAAATTATATCAAGTGACTTAGTGTTTTTTCTTCACAGTACACAACTGTCAGTATAAGCTCCCCTTTCTCTACAGATTGCAAAGAATCTCATAACATTTGACCAAACTTTAGCAAAGCAACTGAGAATTTCTAAGGCAGTGAGATTCAGTTCCATTTCCTCTACCAAGCCTTCCAGACCTTTAGCTTCCCCTGCAATGTTGCTACTGTATATAGTCATATAAATGGTCTTAAATATTTAAAAGCTTGTGCTGCATCATGTGATGTGTCTGATTTCAAGACATGCTGAGCGCCTGTAGTTCCTAGTCACATAAGGTGAAGGGCTCTTTTGAGCTCTTGTTCCACCATTTCCCAGCAGAGCAGCACGCTTTCATGCAGTGGATTTGATAAGATGAAGTCATCTTAGTGCCCTGCAGCAGCAGATGGAGCGTTACTGACAAAGGGAAGCTGATCCAACACTAGGGGGCTCTGGGTCAGTTTGGGAGTTGAGTGTCGCTGCAGATATTGAACAATCTCTGGATTCATCAGTTTCTCTCAGATTTGGGGGCTGTTCTGTTGGACTGGCTGCTGGAGCACTCTGATTCTCACTGGCTTTCTAAAGAGAGAACACATGCAAATGTAAGTGCATACTCTCATTACACTACCCTATGGGAAAATGCATTCAGACACATTCGGACAGTGTTCTTACACTGAATGCATGCAACACAGCAAGTGAACATAAAGCAGGAAAGCAATAAGATAGTAATGTTATCTACATATGAATGTAACAACAAGCAGAAAACTTACCTTCCATTTTTTTCCTAACTGCACTTCCACAAGAAGCATGCAAAAAACAAACTCGCTATGTTTTAAGACAAAAACTATGAATAGTCTTCTACTGTATACAGACAATAATCATTATGACTGCATTGTTTGCTAAAAACATACTTCATGCTCCCTTCTGCAAATCCACCTATATTTCCTTAACATTTTTTCTAAGATATTTCTCAGAGCCACTGAGTGACAGCACTTTTGCAGTAAAAGCACATAAATTTCATCCAATTTACTTAGCAATAGGCCTTTTCTTAGTAATAACGGTTAGGTCAGTGATTCAAGCAGGCAATTCTCTGGTTCAGTCAAGAAGAAAATAGTTGAGAACAATTTTCTAAAAGGCTCAGTGCACATTTTTATAAGCGTTCCCAGATTATGTGATCTTATTTTAAAGACAAATGCTAGCTGCATTCCCTGAGGGCCAAAGACAAAAAAAAGTCTTGTACAATATTAGTACTACAACATCTTCTAACCTCACAATTTATCTTGGAAGACTTGTTTTGCATCAAGTAATTAGAGTGGTGAGCATGCTCTTTCCTTGAAGGATTACTACAAGCAAGCAGTAATGTGAAATGAGGAGGAACCAAAGTTTTTCTGTCATTAATCCCCTTTTCTATGCTCAAGTTTCTCCTTCAAATGACCAACTTTCATGTGAATTCTTTTAGGAATGCCATTTAAAATGTTTAACAAGATAGCTAGGCAGCCTTTTCTGGGTTTAGTGTTTTGTTAAATTCAGGCTAAAAGAATAAGGTGAAATAAAGCAACAGCAATGCATAGGGAGTTTGTTTTTTAATTTTTAGAATTAAAATGTGGGTGTGTTCTGTAAAAGCAGGCAATTTCTCCAAGGAGCTGAAATGATTAAATATATCTTTAGCTTCATGGAGCTGAGATGCATCATGCGTGTGGAATACTGCTTCATTCTGGGTCTACACTAGTTTTTAAATACCAAAATTTTACATACAATACAGTGGGAAAAGAAGCTATGCTTTGCAGGTGCTTAAGTGTCTTCTTGTCGTGATAGGGTTGAATGCTCATTGACCATCTTTTATTCACACTCTGGAAGACCGAGATCATTGAAACTGGCCAGTTGCAGAACAGCAGACCGCCCTGATACGAGTGCAACCAGCCAGGGGAGGGAGGAAACATTAAGAGTCATATTTAACCTAATTTTAAAATTTGGATTTGGTTGAGCAAGAAATACGTTTTTTGATGTCTGACCCTAAAAACACAGGCCTTAATGAGAGACAGTGGGGCATTGCATGGGGGCAAAGATATACCAGTGCAGATCCAACTGCAGGATTGGGGCCTTAATAAAACAATTTTCTCCCAACCAAGATTAGTTGTTCCCATAAATACTAACAATCCTATCTAAGGAATGGTCCTCAGTTCTATCAGTCATGTGTGGAGTAGATAATGCGATGCCCAAAATTTAATAGCATTAATAAAAAGGCTCCATGAATAGCTGCATGAAGTTATGAGAGGGGGAAAGAGGTGATTAAGAGACCATGTTCCTGAAGATGGCAGAGAGTTATAGGAGGCAATAAAAGACTTGAGAGTCCTTCCTAATTGCTCAAGTCATTTACTGAGAGTATCTCCAACACTATGAACATTTGTTGATTCTCTCTCCTAGAGCTTACCACAAACAATAAACCAGTTTTCTTGCCCTGGGAGGTATGGCAGATTCTGTGTGACTGCCATTCTCCAATTGATGCCACCAACAGGGCCGGGCTTATATTAATAATTACTTAAGAGAAGACTGATGGAAAATTGCTTGGGCAAGTGGCATGTGTAGAGAGTAACACTACAGCATTGTGTCAATGAGGATTTCATTGTCATTCAAAAGGAGACATTTGATTTTTCCAAGATGTGTGTCTCTGAAATTCTTCTTGTATAAACAGACATTCTAGAGTCATTTCAATATGGATGCTCACTCTCCCTGAGGCATGCAAGTTAGTCTCATTAAAGCTAATGCAAGCTCAGCATGCATACTGAGAAGGGAATATATGCGTAGGGATGTTTACAAGAATGTAGGCCAATGGGGGAGAAGGGAGACAGCTGGTGAAGTTGGGATTTATTCAAATGTTGCTTTGCCACATCTGCAAAGTCATGTCCAAAATCATCACCTTCCAAAGGTAGGACTGGTGGAAATGACATTTGGGTGCATATGGGATGGCAAATATGCAAGGGGGAAACTGCACCACTCCTTCCCCAGGCAGACAGGAAGTTTATTACCCACACTGTTTTAAAAACCAGCATTGACAGCAGCAGCACAAGTTTCCCTACATTGCCTCACCAACAACCACTGTGCTCCAACTCCGTTCTGGAGGGAGCACCCCAAAAGATCGGATGATAGTCCAGTCTCTGAGTCCGTCCAATCCTTGGCCCCTCTGCCAAGATTCCTAATAAGGGTGCTGGGGGATTCTGTAATGTGAACACTGGAAAACAACAACTCATTTCACACAGGCCACAGAACAGCTCTCAAGTCGTAGTCACTTTCAGTCACCACAAGCCCAGGCCAAGCTCCAGTGGGTGAAGGGCTTCATATTCCATTATTAATTCGCTGGGGTGCCCATTTCCACCATAGTTTGGATGTTTGGCAATTCTCACTCCCCCCATGCCTCCAGGCTAATCTCTAAAAGGAAACATTTAATTAAAACGAAAAAAAAAAAAAAAAAAGAAATAGACAGGCATGTTACACCTTAATAATTATGCAACTTTGTTAATGCTCACCCTGAAGCCACAAAAGTTCTGCAAGTACACAAATGTGTTCAAACTAATATGAAAACACTGTCAATTTAAGAGGCAATCCCAGTATATCCCACCTTGTCATGAGAAAGGGGAAGAGGAGAAAGTGGAAATTAGACTATAAGTAGCAGAAAGATCTGCTCAAATGAATTACTGAACACTCCCCCTGTATCATACACATGCAGCAACTGTATTTGTTACTATTGTTCAACTATTGCTTTACACAACTCCAAGTTTCTGATATATTGATGGAGAATGATTGCCAGATATTAATAATGTTATGGTGCTGTAGATTACATTTGGTCTTAAAACCTTCGGCAGGATATTTTTAGGTTAACATGAATGGTGATATGAACATTGTGTATTAAGAGCGGGTTACCTGCAAAGGCTGGTTTTCAGGCATCAGATTGCTTTTAGACAGCTGTACCATCTCCTTTATTTGATAGACAGCGTAAGCCAGAGTAACCCAGGGAGAAGAACTGATCCCCCACGCAGGCTTGTTCACATCTTCCTGTTCTTCTTGGTGCTTCGTTTTCTTGGGAGGAAGTCTGGGCTCAGTTCGAGGCATGATATCTTCTGACTGTTGATGTATGAGGTCGATGGTTGCTATGGGAACAGGGCTGGAAGGCACTGGGATCCTTTCTGCCAGCATTGTCTTCTCTGAAGTATAGGGCAACATAATCATCAATGAAGTCAGTGATCATTACAAGGAAATTGAGAATCAAAGCACTGAACATGAACATACACAAACATGCTTTGCAACACACTAAGAATTACTCTGTTCCCTAACTGTTTTTCAAGGACCTCTTGATACCAACTGGCAGTGGGTACGGGGATTCCTCTGGGCTCACCAAAAGAATGTCATGTAAGGTCTCTAATGAAAGCCCGTGTCACACTGGTCATCAAATAATCATTGTGAGATGTATGTTTTGAAAATATGCAGAGTTATGCATATACACTAAAAATTATGTTCTTTTAGGTCTGCAAGTTCAGACAGACCACCAAAAGGTAATCCACAAGTCCAGGGAGTGTTCAGTGGACCAGAGGCTGCACACTCCAGAGGGAGGATTCGTGGGTTGGTGGGCACTTATCTCTAACATGTACAGAGACAGAGAGGCCTGTGGAGCCTGGAAGCCAGTGCTTGCGTTGCCAGAGGCTGGTGGCTTCAGGGAGCTGAGCCCCAGGCAGCACAGAAAAAGCTCCCTCATCCTAAGGGCAGGTGGTGGTGAGGTGCCTCATCACCCTGGCAGTAAGAATTACACTGTTCCCTCCCTAACACACACTTCTATTGTGCATACACAGTTAAGAATGTGGCTCTATCACAGTTTTACTTTTGATTTGAAAAGCACTGTTTTCAATCTGGGCATCATACATACAGAAGAGCTGCACCTGTAACCTCAGTGACAAGTGTCAGACACATAACAGCAGAGAGGCCACCAAGCACATCAATCACCTACGAGCTGCCCAGGAAAGCTACTCCAGCCTTGACCTGGATTCACGTCTCTCTGCAGCACTGCTGCACCAAGGCATGCAGGTTTCCAGGAATCGGTTTTTGTTTCAGTATATGTTTGTATTTCCATGTTAAGTGCAATTTAATAAGGCTTTTGAACAAAATAGTAAACTTTACTCTTTACACCAAACTCTTTCCTTGTGACTGACCATTCATAGTTATAACCACCAGGCATCATGTGGTGAAATTCTGTGGCCTATGTTATACAGGATATCAGACTAGATGATCATGATAGTGTCTTCTGACTTTAAATTTATGCATTTACTGTTCTTCTGATGGACAGATCAGAGAAACCCCTTCACCAGGAAGTTACAGAGAAATTAGGGAGTTGGTGACAACAAAGGAAACCCAAGCATCTGTCATGGTGGTTTTGGCTACAAGCAGCCAGTTCTAACACAGGATAGAAATGATCCACTTTCCCCTCAGTTCTTATAGGTGACATGATGCTGTTTCAGACCAAGATGGTTTTAACAATTGCCTGGAAATATCTGATCAATGCAGTGATTTATTGCCTAACAAACTGTGCCCTAAAAATTCTGGATCGCTGCAGAACATTTTATTTATTTTTATTATATATATATATATATATATAAATAAAATGTTCTGCAGCGATCCAGAATATATAAATATATATATATATAAATAATAAAATAAGTAGGCTAGATTTTTAAAGCAATAGCTCTGTGTCATGTAAAACAGCCTAGAGATGACATATACTAATTTTTCCTCAGACATTTTCAAAAGAAAGCTTAAATAAAATACAAACAAGTAAAATACTTAAGGCACTGCTATGGCACACAATTAAGCACATGCTTAGCTATACTCATGTGGGTAATCCCATTTAAATCAATGAGACTATTACAATGCTTAAAGTTAGGCTTACATTTAAGTGGATGCAAGATTTATGTTTAAGATTTACAAACAAGTACACAGATGCAGAAGGAAAAAGAATAATTGGAATATTAAATTCTAGAGAACTATGTCCCAAGAGAAAAATATGAATCCATTTGGGAGGTTCACACATGTACTCCATATGGAACGAACAGCGATTATCCCGTCCAAGTTTCTCTTTTGTGCCATTATCACTTGAACACAGGTGGAAAAAATTAAGGCAAAACAAATATTTGAATGTTCTTAAACCCAGGCAACTCAAGAACTATTGAAGGACAACCCTTGTATTTTTAGGATAAAGAAAAATGAACTTCAGATCTACCTAGGTTTTAGTATGGAATAAAAATAACATTTGGGTAAAAGACACTAAATGTTTGCTTATTATTTTTCATCTCTATGAAACAGGTTTATTCTCTGTCTGTAAAAATAATAATATATAGGATTAATGAAAAAAATAATGTCACAGCTCCTGTGGAATGATTCTGGGCTAGTTTTCCTGTATTATGACCAAATATCTCAAATATCACACAGCGTCTCGAGTTAAGAACATAGGAACAGTCTTGGTCTCATTGACCTGAGTATTTACCTTCTTTTTCATCAGGAACAGCTAGCCACTGGATTAATGCAAAGAGTAGTAGGATTACTAAACAGGCCATTCCTATCCCCCTGAATGTTGCAGCAGCCCCTGTAATGAGAATTATTTTTAGAGCATTTGTTTAGGTAATACAGGAAAAGACAGATATTGTGATGACTTCATTCGGCACTTAAATTTCCATTAAACTTTCTTTTTATATGGCACCTCCATTGCTGGAGGTTTGCAACCATAGCAGCCCATTTTGTATGATCTTCTACTAATCTCTGTGTGGATGAACAGTCCTTTTGATCTACTCCGGATACCACATCAGAGTCCATCCAAGATCAAACTCATTAGGTTATTTCCCACCCCCCGCCCCCTCCTGGCACTTTCAGCAGCAGGTTATTTTACATGGATTCTGAACAAATTATGCTTTCACTTCTCGATTGAGTGTGCAGAGGTTGCATGACAACCACACAATAGTGAACAGCCATTGGTCATCTCATGAAGGATTCATCCAGCTGCCTAGCTGAGGACAGGGCAGTGCTTAGGAGTGGATATGCTCACATAATACTAAAAATTCAAGGCATAATATTACAAACACATACACATATAATTATCAATGTACAAAGCTACATGTGTATAAATAGATTTTTTATGTGATTGAGTGTAACAAATATGGCTTCATTAGCAATACATTAAGTGTACATATGCTTTTAGTCTAGTTTTGCTGCACTACTAAGAAACTGCAATCACACTTAAATAAAATGTTTGCTTACCAAGATAGTTGACCAAAACCCCTCCGATCATAGCCCCACATCCTCTGCCCAGACCTAAGTGGAGACCTTGTAGAATCCCCTGAGCTGAAGTTCTTAATTCTGGAGGCACTGCAGCACTAAGATACGAAATACAAGCTGCCCATATGGCTGCATGGGTTACACCTATGGAGAGGAAACATTTTAGAAAGCACTAAGTATGCTGTCATGATCTGTTTTCATTTATTAGTTGACAGCAGCAGTTAAATGTCCTGGGAAGGAAGTGTTTATAATAAAGTACAAAAAAGTCAGCCATATTCCTCAGTCTTTCATGAAATAAAAAAAACTTTCAATTTTTTCTGTGATGCCCAACCTGCCTAGAGATGCAATAACTAGGGCTGTCAATTAATCGCAGTTAACTCACGCAATTAACTAAAAAAATTAATTGCATTTTTTAAAAATCAGGATTAATCGTAAAATAGAATACTAAGTGAAATTTATTAAATATTTTTGATGTTTTTCTACATTTTCAAATATACTGCTTTCTATTACAATACAGAATACAAGTGTACAGTGCTCATTTTTTATTACAAATATTTGCACTGTAAAAATACGAAATAGTATTTTTCAATTTACCTCATACAAGTACTGTAGTGCAATCTCTTTATCGTGAAAGTGTAACTTACAAATGTAGATTATTTTTTTTGCTACATAACTGCTCTCAAAAACAAAACAACGCAAAACTTTAGAGCCTATAAGTCCGTTCAGTCCTACTTCTTGTTCAGCCAATCACTCAGACAAATAAGTCTGGTTACAACTGCAGGAAATAATGCTGCCCACTTCTTGTTTACATCACCTGAAAGTGAGAACAGGCGTTCGCATGGCACTTTTGTAGTCGGCGTTGCAAGGTATTTACATGCCAGATATGCTAAACATTCATATGTCCCTTCATGCTTCGTCCACCATTCCAGAGGACATGCAGACACTTGTTAAAAAAATAATGCATTAATTAAATTTGTGACTGAACTCCTTGGGGGAGAATTGTATGTCTCCTGTTCTGTTTTACCCACATTCTGCCATATATTTCATGTTATAGCAGTCCCAGATGATAATCCATCACGTTTGTTTTAAGAGTACTTTCACAGCAGATTTGACAAAACGCAAAGAAAGTACCAATGTGAGATTTCTAAAAAGAGCTACAGCACCCGACCCAAGGTTTAAGAATCTGAAGTGCCATCCAAAATCTCAGAGGGATGAGGTGTGGAGCATGCTTTCAGAAGTCTTAAAAGAGCAACACTCAGATTCGGAAACTACAGAACTCGAACCACCAAAAAAGAAAATCAACCTTCTGTTGATGGCATCTGACTCAGATGATGAAATGAACATGCGTCAGTCCGCTCTGCTTTGGATTGTTATCGAGCAGAATCCATTATCAGCATCCATCTGAAATGGTGGTTGAAGATGAAGGGACATATGACTCTTTAGCATATCTTGCATGTAAATATCTTGCAACCAGGGCCGTACTTAGGCATATGTGGCTGCCTAGGGCATCTGAAAATTTGGGGCACCCTGGGTCTTAGTGTCCATCCTCCCACCTCTTCCTATCCTTGTTCTGACCCTTCCTGCAGGCTCCCACAGCTGGCCTGGTGAGTCTGCCTCCCTAGGGGATCTAGTAACTTAAAATGAAAAAGCCTTCCAGACCTATTAGCACAACACTGAAACTGTTAAAGAGCCATTCAAGTGGTAACGAAGCCATTTAACAGGCATTTGCCAACCCCTAGGTACAGACGCTCCCTGGGTTACGCAAACCCGACTTACGGAAATCCGGACTTACGAAAAAAGTTCTGTAAGCTTTTTTTTGCGCGCGCGCACAATAGTCGAAGATACGTTCCTGACTTACGCAAAATTCAACGTATGCAATACAATCTGGAATGGACCACTGCCTTAGTTGGGGAGCTTCTGTGTATATAGTCAGTTTCTGAATTTACTGACAAAAACAGTTGTGCATTACTGTAATATTTACTCAGAACATGTTAGTCTACAGGATCTTAGTTTAAAATTTGCTTTAAAAATATTTCATTAGAAGATTACTGAAGATTATAAAAATCACATCTCTAAAAAAAATTCTTGCATAGATTATTAGATGTACAATCTCCGTATTCATCTTTAGCCTTAAATGCTTGGATCTTCAGACATAGTTTTTGAAATAAATCCTTCAAAGGACCATCCTTATCTAAAATACACATTTTAATTACTATAGTACACAAAACTTGCTTCCAAAGTCTTCTGTCCTTTCTGTCCATCCCTATCTCCCTTCACCCCTCTGTTGAAGAGCCCTTAAAGGGACAACACCCCTTTCCTTCCAGATAGCTGGACAAATGAGTTTCCCTTTCTTTACTGCTGACTATTTGATGAACTAGTTTTAAGAGAACCCTCTAGCAAAATCAGTACTTAGTAAGATATAAAATCCTGTTATGCCTAAAATCTTTGGAAACATATTTTTTGAAGTTGGTGAAATTTCATAAACACGTCTATTGTTACGGAGTTCACACAAAGTAAATTAGTGTTCCCTTTTTCTAAAAGCAATGAATATTGTTTTGAACACACTAAACCTCTGTGACTGATTAATTTAAAATAATGTCTTTGTTTCAGTGAGTCAAATATGTACTAATCTGGACTGATTACTTTATGAAGGCTTAAAAGTACATTTAAAATATAAAATCAATTTAGAAAAACTAATTAAGAAAATGTAAAACAGAGAAGAGCTGCATCATGTATTCCGTAATATTTAATGTTGTATGCAGCAAGACAGCTGACTTGCCCTTACTACAAAGTTTTTGCAAATAAATCTCTGACAAACTTCAGGGCATATCAAAATACCTGCAACTGACATTTTTTATTCCCAAGTTTAGTGCTTTTAATTAGGTACCTTCTGCATATGCAGTCTTCACCATCTGGCATGCAGTGGAAAACATCCTCCATTTTCTTTAAAAAAAACACTCTTCTGCAATTTCTTTGGGTTCAGGGATTTGGCTGGAAGGGGGTGGGAAGAGAGGAGGGAGACAGTGGGGAGAGGGCGGGGCCTGGGGCGGAGCAGGAGTGGAGTATGGGTGGGGCCACAGGCAGAAGAGGTGGGCTGGGGAGCCTAGTATCTTTGCTGCCTCGTCCCTCCCCCCTACCCCTCTGGGCTGCGAGCCCAGGCTGCTGTCCGGCATAGTGGCACCAGTTTAATAATACTGCGTAGGGCCCCATAAATCCTAAGGACGGCCCTGCTTGCGACGCTGGCTAGAACAGTGCCATGTGATCACCTGTTTTCACTATCAGGTGACATTGTAAACAAGAACCAGGCAGCATTATCTCCTGCAAATTGTAATCAACTTGTTTGTCTGAGCAATTAGCTGAACAAGAAGTAGGACCGAGTGGACTTGTAGCCTCTAAAGTTTTCCATTGTTTTGTTTTTGAATGCAGTTATTTTTTGTACATAATTCCACGTTTGTAAGTTCAACTCTCAGGATACACAGATTGCACTACAGTACTTTTATTAATTGAAAAATAATATTTCTTTTGTTTTTTTACAGTGCAAACATTTTAATAAAAAATAAAGTGAACACTGTACACTTCGTATTCCATGTTGTAATTGAAATCAATATATTTGAAAATGTAGAAAACATCCAAAAATATTTAAATAAATGGTATTCTATTATTAAACAGCGCAATTAATCACGACTAATTTTTTTTAATCACTGGACAGCCCTAGCAACAACCCATCTTTCTGTCAATAGCTCCTCCTCCTCCTCCTCATGAAAGTAGCTGGGGGCTTCACAAACCCTAAGACTGAATGTGATTGCCCATAAGCTATGAGCCAATGTTAAATTAAATAAATTAATGGAGATATCCCATCTCCTACAACGGACCTTGAAAGGTCATCAAAGTCCAGCCCCCTGCCTTCACTAGCAGGACCAAGTACTGATTTTGCCCCAGATCCCTAAGTGACCCCCTCAAGGATTGAACTCACAACCCTGGGTTTAGCAGGCCAATGCTCAAACCACTGAGCTATCCCTCCCCTAATGTTTCTTAGGCTACGTTTGCAATACTGAGCCTGCGCAGGCATAGCTATAGCTGCCAGCACAGCCTGGTAGTTTAGACGCAGCGAACACCTACAGTACAAGGAGTTCTGCGAGGGTAGGAACACCACCTCCCTAAACAACGTTAGCGATGCGAACAGAAGCATTCTTCTGTTGGCATAGCGGCATCTACACTGGGGTGCTGTCAGTCTGGCTCTACTGTTGGGGGCATGGTTTTTTCACACCCCATGACTGACACAGTTATGCTGATATATGTTTTAAATGTAGAAAGGCCTTAACATTACTGCCACACTGGAAGGAGTTCAAAGGCTAATCCTTATATGTACACCGACATACCACTATGGAAATCAAACTGTTTAAAAAAAATAAAATAAAAGCATGTTCTAAGAACCATCTCAAAATCAATTCTTTCCAAACTCTTGGCACTACTCACTTTGCATTTGCACTTGGCTTTGGGAGATCTTGGCTGACAGACCACAGAGGTTCCTCAGAGTTAGGCAAGGTACAGTAAGCTTTGCTTATGCTGTTTTGAGTCAGACGCAACAGGATTTCTCCCACTGTTGTAAGTCTGCTTTGACTAAGCATGCCATTACAAAACAGTTTTGCCCACCGGCTGTCAGACATCACCAGTTTCCATTGCTAACAGTGGTAGAGGTCCTTTCAGATATAAATAATGCATATGCATTTGATGCACTCTTGGCTAATCAAATTATAATACATTTTGAGTGCCTTTATTTTTTTCTTACCATGGAAAAACAGAATATGCAGAGACAATTTTGCCTAAGGCAGAACATAGTGGTCAGATGTCATGGAGCAAGAAAAAATAAAAATAAAAAAACCAATCATCAGCTGGCAGGGAGAGGGGAAGGTTGCTATCTGCAGCCTCAATTTGAAATCCTGACTTTGGGGCAAGAGGCAAGAATAAAACGGCAATTTTGTAAAGAGTTACATGGTGAACACACCTGAAGCTATTTTACTGTGGTTCGGTTTTAAAAAACCCTCATGGATTGGGTGGTGATATTTTTTCGAGGTTGGGTGGAATTAAATATAATCACAGCTCATCCCCTGACTAGCCATTGCTAGCATTTGTCCAATTGCCAGTTTAGAAAAATGGTTTGGAGAATGGATGATTTAACTAACAAGGATCAGTCCCATGTACCTGATTTATTAACCAACATCAGGGAGAGACAGTTCAGTTCTGCAATTGCTGATCAGTGTAGACTGAACATCCACATAAACTAAATTAAATAAGATAAAAGTAACAAATCTGTAGGTTGCATACTAACATACGAAATTCCACAGTATTCATTTAATGAATGGCAATATACTGGAATTGATCTTCTGGTCAGGAGCCTATTTGATGGCTAAAAAGTTCTATGTTTATTTTTCACTCTCTGCAAAAAGTCTGATTTAGATACTTTACAACAAAAGTATCTGGGAGCTTCAGGAAACTTAGTAATGGAGGGTTAGTCAGCAGATTATAGAACACACCATGATTAAGTACACATCTAGAAATAATTTTTGAATTGTGAGTCTGTCCTTACTTATAACACATGAAGCTTGTTGAAAGACAACTTATGCTAGACATGCTGAATGATTTTCAGACTACTTTATACAGTACACATGGGTCCAAAATAATTTAAAAAGTACTAATATTGAAAAACCTACTGGTTACATAATGATGAGATTCCTGATTGATTTCATTGTAAGTAGAAAGTAACTATTGTCTTCTTGATCCCCAATTTAAAGGCGTAAACTAACAAGGGTGATTCAGTTTTCAGAAAACTATGTCTCATGCTGATTAAGGAAATCACTTAAAAGCTTATGTAATGCATTCAGACAGTCAGTTCCAAAAAAAAAAAGAATAAAATATTAATCATCAAGTTAAAAACCTGGCAAATCCAAAACATTTCTGGTGTACTTTTAATAATTTGAGTACCATGCTAATTAATTTGGTAAGGAAAACAAAGGCTACAATACTAAAAAGGCACATACACCCCAAGTCTAGAACAATATGGTCCAGAGAAATGCCTGGTGTTTTTAACTCCCTTCAAAATGAACCTAATCCCTCCTTTAGAGCCAAATAGGATGAAGTTAGCTTTTTATTTTCTGTGTGTTACTAAATCATTTGGTTTTTGCGATGGACATCTATATAGCATTGGCAATTTCAAGCTACTTTAAAACCAAACCCTAGTAAGAAATCTGTTTGGATTAGAACTAGTTAAGTGTTTCAAGAGAGACTGTCCAAAATCAAAAATCAAATACATTATCTTGCTTTAGCCACTGGCATCTCTTTGGACACAAGATCTACAGTAACAATTTACATCAAAGTTTTCTACTCATGCTCACCTCTAGCAAATTAAGCTTTAGAGCATGGATATTTTATGGGATGTAATTCATCCAAACAAAAAAGGAAAGATATTTTATTCATTACCCACATCCCCCTCTCCCCTTTGGGGAGTCAGATACATATACTCTGACTCTCCCATCTAGCTGTTTAAAATAGCCACAAATTGATTCTGTGACCCCATTCCACTGTTACACAATCCTGATATACAAAGGAAGCTCTATTGCAGAAGGCACATGAAGAGACCTGCTCTGTCTTGGCTGGTCTTGTCTTGTGAGGACTGTTCCATTTTATGTCAGTTAACTATTCTATTGGAACAAATCTGGCATTGTTTCTCAGATCAGAACAACTGTGCATTGCTCCTCCTTGAAGAGTCACAATCAAATCATAACCTTTATATAACCAGATGGTCAGCTCCTAAATAAAGAGCTTTCAAACGCACTGGGATTGTGTAAAAGGAAAAGATTTTAGTATCATAGCCTATCCAAAAAACTGGCAGAGTCTAATAAAACTGTGGTGAACAAACCACCCCTCCCTCCCCAAAGTGATTTACTCCACAAAAGTAACCATCTTTGCTAACTTAAACTGGAGCTTCAGGTGCAAAAGGAAAGCAAGATTGGTCCTGGTACTCATTTCTGGAGCTTTTTAGCCAGTTGCCACTTTGTAACAGCTCCATATCTTTAAAATTGATATTTTCAGGTCACTAGTCTCATCACCCAGCTGGCCAATTTAGAATGGCTGCTATTTGACAGATGAGGTAATTTTATACTGGGAAAAATTCTTTGCCAGAACAGAGTTCAGCCCATTGTTTTGAAACAGACATGGCCTGAGTATTTTAGTGTTAAAACTACAGTCACTGTATTGAGACAGCAAAGTGATTGATGAGGCTCTTAAGCTCCTTTATATCTATTAAATGCAAAAAGTCAACATGTTTGAAAGACAGCAGTTAAGAAGGGTGGATTTATGCTTGTATTCACTTCTTTAAATCTCTAGCTACCAAGGAAAATGTTCTGGAACATCCTGTCTCTGTTAAAGTTTTCAGTGGCTTTCTGAACTTATAATTTAGGCTACTGAATGCTCTACTGTAACCTGACAAGAATTGAAGACAGGTTACATTAACTCATGTCCTTGCATGTTTGGAGAATTAACACATGCAGCATTGCATTTACACCTCATAGGCACTCATTTGGCAGGCAACGTTGACACTTCTAGCAATTTAAGAGTTAATCCAACCCCTTATTTTCATATAACCGTGCATATGTGAATAAACAAGGCTTATAGTTTCCAAACTCTTTCATTAGGAAATAAGTGTAAAATAAACTCCTCTCATTTTCTGTCTTAAGAAGATGCCGTGCTTGGAGCAGCTCTCACCAATTTATATACACTGATAACAATGAAATTGTAGCATGGTTAAAATTACAATCAATAGATGCAGTTTGCACAGAAATCTCTCCATGCCATGCGGTGGTCTTGAATTCTTATCTAGAAATTCAATAGAAATTTCTAATTTTATGTTAATTAAATATGTAATCTTCTTTAAAATTAACTTATCCACCATTACATACAAGTATTTCATTTACTTTGATTTGACAATCAGAGACCAATAAATGAAACAGTTTTACATAGAGAACGTCAGGCATCACAAATGTCAAATCCCACCCTAGGTAATAAACAGCACAAGTTTGCCATATTTTACTCTATCAGTTCTGCTAAGTATATCATTCTACAGAAAAGTCATTAGGCATTGGAAACACTGTTAGAGCATATAGTGATAAGACACTTATCAAATCAACAATTTTGAAATATTACATTAAAATGCGCTCATGTGATGTATATAATTAAAAAAAGACATTTGGAAACCAGAAGCACTAGATCAAAACAGAAGATTCATTAACACCACAACTTGTAGTGACTCATCGGATGTTGCTCACTTTAAATGGGAGAGTCAAGTAATCTAGGTCTCAGATTAGAACCACCTTAAAAATGGTAATATGGTGGGGGGGTGATCATTCTGTGAACTGTGTTGCATGCCACAGTAAATTAAGAATATAAATGGTAGAAAGTAAATCTGAATTATAGTAATCTAATAATGTATGCTTTCAGTAACACAGCTAAGGTCTTTTTTAAAAAAATATTAATTTTCATCTGACAGTAGGACTCAAAATGATGCTTCTGCACAGACCACACATCATTAATATCTCTAATTTAAAATAACGGCCCTGTAAGCAATTGATTTGAATAAAAAGTAAAACTAAAAGGCTTGCCTTGTCTTGAAAGCACATACAGGGCTTTGTTGAAACCTAAGTTCCTGTCAGGTTACAATAGCCTAAGCTATAAATCACAGAACGCCACAGAAAAACAATTGCAGAAAATTTTAACAGACAGGACGTTCCAGAACATTTTCTTTGGTGGCTAGGGCATTTAAAAAAAAAAAAAGTACAGCACAAGCATAAATCCATTCTTTTTAACTATTGTCTTTCAACCATGTAGATTTTTGCATTTAATAGATATAAAGAAGCTTAAGAACCTCAGCAACCAAGCAGCATGCGCAGGTGTGTATTCAACCCATGCTTCTGTCTCTTTGTTTAGTTATAGGGTGTGTTGATCTCAAGCAGATCTGTTTGGATCAACAAACAGAACAGTGTGCAGATCAAATGCAGAACCAACCTCCTGACGTCAAACCTTTTCCATGACAACCACTGTAAAAATTTATGAGACCATAAAGTCTTTTGGGATATTTATAGTCAGAAGCAAAGAGCTACTGGACTTTCTCTTAATCACAGCTCAGATGGCAACATGAATAATTAAATGGCTCGCTTTAAACTACAAGATCATAACTGCATCATCTTACCTTGAAGTACTTCCATAGGGAGAACAGTCCAGGCATTTTCCAAATAGGAGATATAAATGTAGCGAGCTGTATTACAGGCAAGGCCAATATAGAGCACTCTAAAAGGAGGAAGGGAAAAAAAACAGTCATAGAGGTTTGCAGTTTCCATGTCTTGTATGGTACCATAAATACACCTGATTGCTTTCTAAATCCTAATAAGAAAGCGAAATGCAGCGCAAGGAAGTGTGTGCTCACACAACAATTTCTTACTCAAAAATCTTCCTTTACAAAGATCCCACACCCAAACGGAACCTCTTCCTGCTCTGCAGGCATGCAATTAAACTTGTTCCAAGTTAAAAATAAAAATGTGATTGATTAAATTTAAACAAAACCCCAGGAGAATTCTTTTCAAACCACTAATGGAAAACAAATTAATCCTAAGTAGAGGGATGTTTCTGTCTAGAGTTAACAGACCCTCTGAGCTTCTGACTAGGTACACCTCTACCTCGATATAACGCTGTCCTCGGGGAGCCAAAAAAATCTTACCGCATTATAGGTGAAACCGCGTTATATTGAACTTGCTTTGATCCACCGGAGTGCGCAGCCTCCCCCCGCCCCCGGAGCACTGCTTTACCGTGTTATATCCGAATTCGTGTTATATCGGGTAGCATTATATCGAGGTAGAGGTGTAGTGTCTATTTTAATTTTATGCAATGTCCTATTGCATTATATTTTAGAGAGAATATGGTTTCCATCACAGCTGACACCAGCCTTTTTAAATGCCTCAATGATTCAGACATCATGATGTCCTGTAATTAGTAACAGAGCCGTACCGTTTAAGATGAGTATAGATCCATATTATTATAGGAATTTATTTCATCCATGCTGATGTAAAGTTAGCATTACAGGAGTTGCATCCAGTTCACTACTTCTCTGAAATATGCACTCTTCCACAAAAAACAATAAATACTCCATGTAGTGACAACATTACTGTTGTCACTGGTCTTGTTTTCAACAGGACAATCCAGTTTGGAAGCAAGAGGTTAAGAGTCAGGTTTTAAAATAACTGTTGACCAGAAAGCTCAAGCCTAGTTTTCCCAGTTGATTTTCTCACACTATTTAACCAAACGTTTTCTCTCCTTTCCTGACTTCAGGCTTCAACCCAATTGCTTCTTCCTCACCAAGCTAAACTGTCATTACTAGAAGCAACCTTTGTTGTACATTATATCTTTCCTGTGGCTCTAAAAAGGAAATATTCTAGTAGGCGGAGATAAATCATCTCTTTTCCAGGACCAGGGAAAGAGGTAGATTTGGATAGCAGACTAAATTAGTTTAAATTAGTGACAAGTCACTTTCCCTTGTTGTCTATCACTGACTGGAAATGCAATCTCTAAAATCAGAAAGGAAGAGGAACGTGACTAAACCCCCGTACCATTCACCCATACATACAGGGGTAACATTAATTTCCTCCCTGGTTTGCATTTGACAGGTACCAGGTTCACCTAACTTTACAATAACCTTTTCTGATTAAAAAAAAAAAAAAAGGTTATTTTTGGCTCTTGATTTCAACCACTCTTTTAGCACCCTGCTTATTACATCTCCCTACAGGGCAAAGATGAGACTGCAGTATTTACTGATCTGCACTCAGGTGTTTTGTAAAATATCTTGTTATTCAACTTGCAGGTTTCTAGTGGACCTGTTCCAAGTGGGAGCGACTGCAGAACATTCAAGGTGGACCCACAGATGTTAAAAAAATAATAATAAAAAAAAAAAACTAATCTTCGAATGATGCACTGCACCTCTTAAATAACCAGGGTACGAGGGCTACTCAGGATTGACCCACAGGAAAATTCAAAAGGAAAGGTTGGCCTGGGGGTTAAGGCACAGGCCTGAGTCTCTGAATATCAGGGCTTTATTTCTTCCACAGCCTCGAACTCACTATGCACTCTTAGCAAAGTAATTTAATTGTCATTTAATTCAATTTACCATGGTCCCATGATGTTCAGTCTTTCTGGCTTCCACTCAGACAAATGCCACAGCATGTACTATGCTCTTGATATCACTACCCAAACATAACTACACTGGAGCCAGCCTACTGGGATCAGGTAAGCCTGTGCTTTCTGCAATAATGCCCAGATTTGCAAAGTTTGTAATATTTTATACCTTATAGTAATTCATGTATTTTTGCAGAAAGTCTTACCAGACACCCCAACAGGCCAGCTCCAGACTCTCTGCTTCCACAGGTGTGGCAGGGGGTTGGAGGGGGTCCATAGCCGATGTGTGTTGCCAGGATAGTGACACTGGATCACCACTTAGAGCAGAAAATGGGGAGCAATGGCAAGGCCGGATATTAACAGGCAAAGTGGGTAGGGAGATTAAATCTGTAGTGAACAAGAGCTATAACAAATTTGTTCCTTTCATCCATTCATCTCTACCATCTTTCTGTTCAACAACTTCACTTCTTTTCCCTGATTGACTCCTGTGCATACAATTTCTTGCCAACTTTCTCCCAAAGAGAAAAATGGCCCTATTCAGGAAGCACACTTTTCATATCCCTCCTCACCAGTTTCTCTTCCTTTCTGCCAGCCTCCATTAGCTCAGAAGCAAAAAATCAAGTAAGGAATACGGACAGAGTTCTCCTGTTTACTTGTCTTTCAGAATGTTCAGCTAGATATTTATAAATTGAACCCAAAATGATCACATTTGAGTGTCAAAAGTTTAAGCACCTAATTAAAAGTGGCCTGATTTTTAGAAGGGCTGAGCCATTGAATTCAGGAGCTAGTAAGTACTTAGGGAGCCCTCATCATAACTCCTGAGCAACTGCTTGTTTGATTTTTCTCATCTTTCCATGATCTTTCATATCTTAGGACACAGCTCCTTAGCAGAGCTGGGCAAATATTTGATTTTTCTGTTCACTGACAGTTATGAAAAAATTAACCAAAATTGAAAAATTTCAAACTGGAAAAAAAATCCATTTTGGGCAGTAGTAAAGGGCTAGATTTACAAAAATACATGGAGGAGCCACTGCCCTCCTTATAAAACTTTTAGTCCAGTGGTTAGGACACTCATCTGGGATGTGGGAGACCCACGTTCAATTGCTCTCTCTGCCTGATGTGGAGCAGGGACTTGACTTGAGACCTCCCACATCCTAGGTGAGGACCCTTACCACAAGTCTATAGAGTCATTCTCATGCTCTTTCCCTGGCCCAATGACTATTCATTGTCATTCATAGTGACAATTTATAGTACACCACCACCACCTCCTCCTGTCATTTTCTGAATGGCATATAATGCCTATGGGTGGGGGAGGGGGGGGAGAGATGGGGATCAAAACTATTTGGCAAATTTCTGTCAAATTTACTAATAGTTTCTGGTCAACTAAAATTGCATTTTTCAGTGAATAAACTGTACACATGAAATTTTTTGCCCAACTCTAGTCCTCACCCAACTGCTCCCTAGGAGAACAATAGGTGCTAAACAATTTTGAAAATCTGTCCACTTAATTTAGGTGTCTAGATGAGAGCTATTTTGAAAATCTGGCCCTGATGCTTTAAACTTCCTACCCTCCATATGACATGCAGACAAAATAGCTAAGTGCCAGCATAGAAAAACTAGGAAGCAACTGGAAGAGTAGGCTTATGCCCAGAATAGAGCAGTGGTATTCAGAACTGTCTGAGTTAGCAACCAAGAAAGAAGTGCTCGTTGCCAGAGAGAGCAATTATCTCAATTTGAAGAAATTTGGACCCCTTCTCTAGATACATTTAGACATAAAATATTGAGATGGTTCAAAGAATGCCAGACCTTCATTCCACCTAACCTCTTTTTCCCTACCCCTCTCCTCTCCCTATTCATGTAGATCATCTCCTAGCTTTTTACTGTTAACCCCACCCTGACATGTTATGTCTATGTGTTATTGTCTGGTTTTGTATTGGTTTGTCTTGCAGGTTTGACAAATTGTAAGACTGCATAATTCCATTCGAGATCCTGTGAAGCATGTGAAATTTGGAAACATATAAAAGCTGTAAGTCATTTACCTTTCTATTGTCTGCTTCTTTATGAAAAAAAATTCTTTTTAAAAAGGAAGCAGAATTTCAGTGCAACATAGCACAGAACTCTCAGCAAGACATCCTGCAAAATACCCACCCCACCACTACCTACATACCTCTTCATCAGAGAACATGCCAAGGAAACGCATTCATATGCTTCTTCTTAACCTGAGTAATCACTCAATTAAGTCACAAAACCTCAATTTGCTGAAGAGAAAGGGGGAGAGTGACAAATAGCATGGTATAAGGGTTAACGAAGGAGACTTGGAATAAGGACATCTGAGTGCTAAGGCTAGCTCTGACATGGATTTGTTCTGTTGTACTGGGCAAGTTATTTAACTTCCAAATACCTCTTTTGTCCATCTGAATACTGCCCACCTTTATAAAATGCTTTGAGATACCCAGAGACACAAGTGGAAGGCACTAGATATGAAGTACAAATACTATTAACACTGTTTTAACAACTTTCTGGTTGCATGGATAGCCTTATAACTACTTCGCTGGCATTGAATTGTGCACAAAGCGCTATGGTAATCTCTAAAATGTTTACAACATAATTGGAGTATCAGTACAGTGATATGTGAACCTGCTGTGTGTCTCAGAGCTAGAGTTGGGCAACATTTTTCAGATGAATAGTTTATTTGCTGAAAAATGAAGCTCCGGTGGACCTAAAACTATATGCAAATTTGTCATGAATAGTTTCGGCCAGTCACAGAGGAGGAGGCAGATGGAGATGGGTGATGCCACCACTGCCCCCCTCTTGTAGTCTTTAACCCAGTGGTTTGGACACTCACCTGTGATAGAGGGAAACCCAGGTTTGAATCCCAACTCAGAAACAAATCCAAAATGAACTTTTTCAAGATTCAGTTCAACCCAAATCAATTATTTTTGATTTTTCAGAACCTCCATCAAATCAAAAAATCAGTTACCCTCCCAGATCTACTCAGAGCTCACATAGGGGTTTGAGCCTGGAATGCTGGAATCAGCAGTTTCAGGATACTGGTGGATGACAGTTGTGTGAGTAGCTGAGAGGAGACAAGTGTTTGCTTAGCTAGCTCCCAGATCTACCTAAGCACAGCTTACTGTGAAAAGTGCCAATACATTTCCCCCCCATTTATCTGTATCAGAGCTTGTGATTACAAGAATCAAGCCTGTGCCTGTCTCCAAAAACTCAGGCAGAAGGGACAGTGAAGGTATTAGTACTAAGCTATCAGAAAAATTACAGCAAGAACTTCTATTCTTTAGAATGGGAGGAAGAATACGTAGACATCAGTGTACTTCTTTGCTAGTAGTAGGAGTTAAAGGAAGATAAAAACTTCTGCTGTGACCTTTCCACACCGTAACAGAAAAGTCATAGTCATTTCTTTCACAACAGACCTAGGAAGTCTTCAGGGCTGGGTGTGGAGTGGGAGGAACCTTTCCCCGCCCACTATTATATGAGACCTTACAGTACAGTTTCTGGAGACACTTAACCCTGTATATGCCAAAATTGTTCACATTCTGTTTTGGGCCATTAAAAAAGTTATACAGATGTACAACATACAGCCCTGGTCTCGTCTGGTTATCCCTGTTTTCCATAAGATACATTAAACATCCCTAATGCATTAGTGTAGTTGAAAGCTAATGCTACTCATTTTATTAATAGGTGGAGTAACCTTAAAATAAAGTAAAATAAAATAAACCAGTCATACCAGTCAATGTGTATAATGCAAAGGGGATCACATACGGGATCATTAACTCCTCACCTTTGCCAGTTTGTTTTCACTTTTTGGGAGAAGAGGCTTTAATGCAGTGGACCAAGAGTGTACATTATTTTGCAAAGTTCAAAGAGCTAGAGGAGAAAGATAGCATCTGGGGCGGACAGTTTGCAAGTTGCTATGACTAAAATATAAATAAGTATTAGATAATACTAAAATATGAAAAGAATAGGACCAACAGTTAATTTACATTCATTGTTCTGGCTGTGGTTATAAAGGGACATGTGTTAAATTGACACTAGCTACTGTTAGTATCTAAGCAATTTAGGCCGAGTGATGCAATACACTCTGCCCAATATCCATCTAAGTTTAGAAGAGATGGAATTTCTTTTAAAAAGAAATCCTTAATATGGGAAATGTAGAGCAAAAGCAGCAAGGTCTACAGCTCCATTCTTGTCCATTTTACCGTCTTACTTCCACAATCCTGCCATTTCTCTTTCCTACTTACACCACACATGAAAGAAAAAGGACTAAACCTAAGTTTTTGTACTATAATCAAGCACATTTTGAAAACACCAGAAAATGGAAGTAACTTGATGTAGCCCTATGACTGACTGCGCTGACCACTTTGCTTGTATATTTTAGCTCCTCCTCCCCATACATGTTTTTAGAGGCTTTAAGGCAGGGAATTTCTTCCTATATGTGCGTACAATATATAGCACATTGTGGGTTCTACTGCAGTATAAAGAAAAATATTAAGAGGGGGAATTAGATCTCATGTTAAGAGTTTATCTTAACTCCCAAAGTTGCACGGGAGCATTATACTACAGAGCTTTATAATTAGTGTTGTGTAAACTAACTCCTATTGATATCATGATTGGTCATTAGCAGACCATAATCAAAATGGTTTTAAATCTGGGTATGCTACAATCGCTGAACAGGAGACTGCCAGTTTTGACTTATATCTCCTACATGCAAAATTCTTTGGAATCTACAATTCCATAGCTCCTGGCTGCCTAGAGTACCTTTAAACACTGCTTTTTTCATTAACCTTTGATGTTTATAATCATAGATTATGGTCTGCTAATGACGGTTCTTTCCATGATTATTATACATTTCTCAATGTCACTGTGACCCTAAAAGAAAATTATGCATTTAACATGAGTAAGTCCCAGGTCCAGATTATCTCCACAATTACATTGCATACACACAAACAGACAAGATTAATTATTATCTCTTGTTCATTTATATACCTTTATAGTCAATATACACATGTAAATTTCAGGGCTTCAGCTCCATCAAGGAGTACTTTCTGGTGACATCAGGTGCTACATATGTATCTCTTACCTAGGCCATGTCATTACCAAAACCTCCAGTATATAGAATTTAGCCATGGACTGTCAAATAAATAATTCTTGAATCTAATCTTTTACTTAAAAAGAAAGCTTTCCCTTCCATGATCACTCCTTCCACTTCCCTTCTCCATCCAAATGCATCTAGATCCAGTAATGAATATACTACATTCACACATCTGGCACAAGACCTCTTGTCAAAACATAGTGCCTCATAACTCCACCAGATTATTTATGTTTCTTTTTCCAACAGACACTAAATGTCAGAGGAGAAATACATATCTTTTTAGACTGCAATCCATCTAGTGCCTGTCACATAACAAAGCTAATATTCAATACACTTCATATGAGAGGAGGAAAGCAAAATTTAGTATGCCAAACAAGACATTTTCATGCTGCAGGTGTAGAGACTGTCTCAAGGTTTCAGCATGGTCTATGAGCTGAAAATTAAAAGCATCTTTTGCTATTAAATTACACTCTTCTTTTTTCCTTTGCCTGCAGAGTGCCAGTAAATTTTGTCAAACTAATTATGTTTAAAATTTAAAGTTATGAAAGCTATTTATCCTTATTATGCAACCCGCTTAAATGGAAGAAAGATATGAAAATATGACACCTCCTGCTTCACCAATAAAAACAAGCGACAGGAAGGGAGAGAACATCAGCACAGAAAAATGTATATTGGTTTGCTTAAAATAATGGATCTAGATTAATTAAAAGCCTAAAGACTACTTGGTATAAAATTTGATATCCCATGTGCCAGGCACAGTAACTTGAGAGATCACTTGAAACATACCTTTGACTGAGGTCAAAAGAAACAACAGTGGGATCAACTCACCGAAAACAAACAGGACAGGATGCAGAAAAAAACCTGAATGACCCATATGGTTGAAAATGCACTGACATCTAGATAACAGATCCTCAGGTGTATTGGGAGAGGATATGGGAACAAGATTACATATACAGTTCTGTGAAAACATGCTTTGCTTCTGTTTAGGGGACCACCGTGAGATGTTATAATATTACAGACTTTAAGATAAAGCCCAGAATAGATGGTTGTTCAAACAAATCATGGAGTTTTGAAGCAAAATCATTGAGGATGCACTTTAAAGTAACCCTTTCAAAGTTAAACTGCCAAATATCACTAAAGTGCTGAGAAAACATTTTGGGTGTTATGAATAAGTTATATTATATACATGTTTAAAATGAACATTTACTTCATCATCAGGCAGTCATGTATCTGAGTGTACGCAGGTCAGGACAGAGATCTTTAAAATAAGGGGCAAGAGTGGTTTTGGAGAAGTGTTGCCTCACTGTTTAAATCCACAGTAAAACAGAGTGCTGCAATTCAGAGACTGTAGCCTAGTTCCATTCTCTAGAGAATGTATTCAAGGTATTTATATACATTTTTGTAATATAAAGTTATAGCACTGGAATATATTACAGATTCACTGTGTCACATTAGGAATTTGAAAGATTGGGGGGGAAAGGATCACATTAAACATAAGGCTTGCTAGAAAAAATTCATAGTAAACTTTCACCAGTTTCTAGCTATTTTTTTTTTTTTAATATTGGGTAAATGCTACAGGGATCTTTATATTATCTCTTCTGTTTCTATTGCACTGAACTCCTACCTTGCCTGATGTATCAGACAGACTATACTATTTCTGGATGTACGGTGTTCTAGCACCAACACAATATCACTCCCTGAAATACTTCTAGGGATGGTGCTGGCAAATACTGACATCTTCACAGATGGTGTTCTCCAACAGTTAAGAGATAAGTGAGGTGGCCTAAATATCCCACTTATCTGCAGGACTGGGGGAGGGTATAAGCACCAGGCAGAACCATTCTTGGTCCAGCTCAGCCAGGAAGAGCACAACTTAAAAGAAGTCTCATTTATAAGCAGCACAAATATAGTCAAAAAACAGATTCACAGGAGGAGACTCTTTAAAATAGAGAAACGTGAAGCTAACTCAATTTAATACTCTACACACTTAGCTCCACTAACATGTCCACAGTTCTTTAGTGATTATTGTCATTCGCTTACCTGATGTGACCAATCAGTTCAATCAACTTGTGGCTAAAGAAGTAGGCAGTCAGCTCAGACACGTGGCTCAAGACAGAACAGACTCCAAAGAGGGTGGTAGTGCCATTTAGGTCTTCCAAGTGCCAGTAGAGAAAGGTGAACACAAACCCATACCCAAACCCCATAAACCAAGCCACGAACAGCACAGACCCATACTGTATACTGCAAAGAAGCTTTATCAGGTCCCAAAAACTGAAGGACTGAGACTGGCTTATGCTGCTGGGGGTGTCATCAGAGGATTCAGTGGAGGCATTTCCATCCACTTGTGGGATCTCTACTTCCTTCCTCTTGTTTTCATCTTCTTTGTAGTGGTTATAATGGAATCTGAACTGGGTGGCCACAATAAGCGCCATTGACATCAGTACACCAAAGACTATGAAAACAATCCTGTAGTTCTTGTACTCAGGAGCTTTGCACCCCAGACCTTCGATGATCACTTCTATACGGGTATAGTCTATACCAATTCCCACCGATAGCATGGCCAGTCCCCAGCCCAGAGAGCCCCACATCCGTTGCAAGCCATAGCGGTCCCTGTGTTTGCCAAGATATTGGAGAGTCACGGTGTCCACAATGGTAACAGATGAGGCACTGAAAAACTCTCCTATAATAACAACCAAGAGAATGAGTAGAAAGATAGCTTCTACTTCTTGATGATCATAAACCAGCATGACGTGGTCAAAAGATACTGGTTTTGTGGTGACAACAGGTGGTGGTGTAGGGTGGGTCATATTTCCTGGCAGTCCTGGGTTAGTGGTGGTATTCTTTAAAATAAAATTTGTATTGTTGTTATCCAAGGCAAGGTCTCCATTTCTGGTCTGAGCAGAAAATGGAAACAATTCCAAAGTTGGGGGACTGTTAGTTAACAGGTCCCGCTTCCCACGACCCTTCTGTAATGTAGCACTAGCTGTAGTTAGCAGAGAAGAAATGGTGGCATTTTGCGGCAGCGATGTTAAAAGGTGGCTGGCATTGGAAGGATGTGGTGGTGGAGGGACCTTTGGTACACATCTTAAGGTAGCTGGTCTAACAAATCCAATCCCCAGGTTAAATAAAATCCAACATAAAAGCGAAAAGAGAAGGACAACTTTCCCTTTTTTAAAGCGATCTGCCACCACTCCCCAGAAAGGAGCACTGCAGAATTCAATAAAGTACCTAATGCCCACCAGAAGTCCACTCTGACTAGCCGACATGCCCAGCTGCTTATAATACACAGGAAGCAATGGGTAAAGGGAGCCATATGCAGAATAAAAGAAAAAATAAAAGACCTTGGAGATCAGAAGATCATTGTTTATTTTGACACAGTGCCTTTCTAACCAGTCTAGCTCCTCGTCAGGGACAGTGGTGGTCTCAGTTGAAGGGGTTTCATTTTGGGGCTGGAGATCTTGCTCCTTGGAAATTCCATTGAAAGGATCAGCAAGCACATACTTTCTCTTCTGCTCTTCTTCATCATCAGTTAAAATGGCAACTTTATCGTCAGCCGCCATAGCTCACCACAAGCATCCGATACTCAACACACTCTCCACAATGACTGCAGCTATCCTGTAGGGCAAATAAAATAGACTACGGTTAAAGCACAACACAGAGAAAGAAGGGTGCAATCATGGAAGGTCAGGCACTAAGGAATAAAAGAAAGAGAGCCTCTTTTTATTACTTACATGCCTTGCCCATAAATACCTCAGGAGCGGAGGAAAGAAAAACATTGTATTCAACTGTTAATTCACTTTGATAATGATAGACAATACTGGCAATCATGAAAAAGTGGATTTAGTGACTGCCACTGCCACTACCATAGCAACTTATCTTCCAGTAGCAGTTCTGTAGCTCTTTGCAATGACCATCCTATACATTTATTACAGGAGAGATTTTCAAAGGCACAAATAGGAGCTAAACAACTAACTGCAATTTGTGCCTTTGAAATCTCCCCCTACAAATCATCTGCTTTCCTAAGAATCTAATTCCAGTATTTACCGTTTTGCTTAAATAACCGTAGGACAGGGAATGAGGTGACTCCGGGGTCAAGTAATGAGTCATATCCATTCCACCTGGAGTCCCATTTTCAGAAACGCTGAGCATCTACAACTTCAGTTGAAGTCAGTGGGACTGTGGTTGCTCAGCACCTCTGGGAAAAAGAAAAGTAAGACTCCCTAGTTCCTAGTGGACAGGTACCTACATCATACAAATCATCCTCACAAATAGGCTGGAAGCCTCAGTAGCAGGGGGCAAGGATTGAACAGACATGGGACTAAACTGATCTTTTTTCCCTTCCAATCAAGGTTCAGAAATACAGGAGGGACTGAGGAGAAATCATAATGCCACTGCAGGCCCCATACTTATTCTGTGGAGAAACAGTGAATTTCAGGAAGGTCAGGCCTGTACCTTTTTACAAATCATAATTCATTTAAAAACCAATTTTAAAAGCCAGCAGGATTTAGATTTCAGTTTTAAGAGCATCTTTCATACTCAATAATAATTATTAATAATAGTAGAGTTAGCCATTAGTCATTTTCCTTACTGGGAACAAAAAATTGGTCTCCCACACAGAAGTGCAGTCCGTTAGTTCTTGGCTACCAGATTGGAGACACATTGCATTAATTTGAGATTTTGCAGTATTAATATTTGTGAGCATAACCTGGAAAAAATATTAGATTAGCAAACTATATAATGTAAATATGTTTCATTCTAAATAAATATTTCAGTGCATGTTTCTGGATAAATCAAAAGATGCCACAAAACAATTTAACTTAAATGTTTAATAGATACTCTCTTGCCTGAAGCAATATATTTTTGTTTTTCACTCTGGATCAACTTACATTCCAAAGTAGAATTTTTTAAGGACTAAGTTTTAATTATAGTGGTTTCAAGCTCTTTTGGATTGCTGATAAACTGTTCCACTGAAATTTATTAATGTCATAATATTTAAATTGTGAAATATAGAACATGTTTCTCCAGTGATTCCTTTAATATTCTGTAAGGAACTTAACTTCCTATTCTCAAGAAGCTAAGAAGCCCTCAGAAGATTCCAATCTCTAATATTTTAGAATCAAATTGGAAGCTTAGTTTTGCCTGCTTATGAACTCATTGTTGATTGAGATAAGCGGAGTTTATCCCTTTAAATAACTGATTATAGTTCAGAATTTTCTCCCAAAAACATTAAGGGCAATAACTGACAAGGGATGTAAGTTTAAAAGATTTCTTTCTGGCCTAATAGTATTCACAGGTATTATTCTAGTTCAGTGATGTTTATTAAGTTCTGTTCCATATTAAACCAATGTGCATTAGGTGTTGTTGTTTTTTTAATTAAGTACATCAGAAGTAGGAAGCCTGCCAAACTAATCAGTGGGGCCACCAAATGATCGAGGTGCTAAAGGAGCACTCAAGGAAGATAAGGCCATTATGGAGAAGCAAAATGAATTCTTTGCATCAGGCTTCATTGAAGAGGATGTAAGGGAAATTCCCATGCCCAAGCCATTCTTTTTAGGTGACAAATCTGAGGAACTGTCCCAAATTTAAGTGTCATTAGAGGCAGTTTTGGAACAAGTTGATAAATTAAACAGTAATAAGTTACCAGGATCACATGGTATTCACTCAAGAGTTCTGAAGAAACTCAAATATGAAATAGCAGAACTACTAAATGTGATATGTAACCATCATTTAAATCAGCTTCTGTACCAGGTGACTAGAGGATAGCTAATATGCCACCAATTTTTTTAAAAAGGCTCAAGAGGCCATCCTGGCAATTACAGGCTGGTAAGCCTAACTTCAGTACTAGGCAAATTGGTTGAAACTAGTAAAGAACAGAATTATCAGACACATAAATGAACACGATTTAGTTCATGAACGAAAGAGTCAACATGGCTTTTGTAAAGGGAAATCATGCCAATCTATTAGAATTCTTTGTGGGGGTCATTCAACATGTGAACAAGGGTGACTCAGTAAATATAATGTACTTGTATTTTCAGTAAGTCTTTGACAAGGTGCCTCACCAAAGGCTCTTAAGCAAAGTAAGCGGTCATAGATAAGAGGGAAGGTCCTCTCATGGATCAGTAACTGGTTAAAAGATAGGAAACAAACGGTAGGAATAAATGGTCTGTTTTCAGAATGGTGAGAGGTAAATCGTGGTGTTCCCCAGGAGTCTGTATTGGGACCAGTGTTTTTTCCAACATAGCCATAAATCTGAAAAAAGGGGTAAACTGTGAGGTGGCAAAATTTGCAGATGCCACAAAATTACTCAAGATAGTTAAGTCCAAAGCAGACTGTGAAGAGTCACAAAGGGAACCTCACAAAACTGGGTGAGTGGGCAACAAAATGGCAGATCAAAGTAAATTTTGATAAATGCAAAGTAATACACATTGGAAAACACAATCCCAACTATACATATAAAATGATCGTGTCTAAATTAGCTGCTATCACTCAAGAGAGAAATCTTTTGAGTCATTGTGGTTAGTTCTCTGAAAACATCTGATCAATGTGCAGCAGCAGTCAAAAAAGCTAAAAGAATGTTATGAACCACTGGGAAAGGGACAGATAAGAAGACAGTAAATATAAAACCACTATCTAAATCCATGGCATCCCCATACCTTGAGTTTGTATATTAAAAATAGAAATGGTACAGAGAAGGGCAACGAAAATGATTAAGGGTATGGAACAGCTTCCATACGAAGAGAGATTAAGACAACTGGGACTTTTCAGCTTGGAAAAGAGATGACTAAGGAGGGATATGATAGAGGTGTGGAGAAAGTGAATAAGGAAATGTTATTTACTTCTTCACATAACACAAAAACCAGGGGTCACCCACTGAAATTAACAGGCAGCAGGTTTAAAACAAACAAAAGGAAGTACTTCTTCACACAACGTATACTCAACGTGTGGGACTCATTGCCATGGGATGTTGTGAACACCAACAGTATAACAGGGTTCAAAAAAGAATTGGGTAAGTTCATGGAGGACAGGGCCAACAACAGCTATTAGCCAAGATGGTCAGGAGTGCAATCCCATGCTCTGGGTGTCCCTAAGCATCTGACTGCCAGATGCTGGGACTGGACAACAGGGGATGGATCACTTGAGAATTGCTCTGTTCATTCCCTCTGACGCAGCTGGCATTGGCTGCTGTTGGAAGACAGGATACTGGGCTAGATGAAGCATTGGTTTGACCCCGTTTGCCATTCTTATATTTGTGGAATAAGCTGCAGTGGGCCCAGTAATATAATCTAAAATTTAGTCTGGAAAGCTCTTCCCTTTCTCTAGACTCCAGCATTGTGGTTGATTTTATCTGCAGGCATTTTTTATTACAAAGTAATCTTTGAGAATTTGCAATTTTAAAATAAGTTCAGTGTTGCCAATTCCAGGATTTTACCATGAATGTTGCAATACCTGGTGTTTTTCTCACCAACCCCAGCTGATGAATAATATTACCTGACAATCTCTTCTTTCATTTAAAAAAAGAAAAAAAAAAAAGGTTCTATCCCTCATGGTTGAACCCTAAACGCTCTAAAACCAGAAGACAAAGGAAAAAAAAAAAAAGAACATGATTTTTAAATCAGTGTCATAATTTTGGGGGCCTGAATCTTGATTTTTAAGTGTTTGGAGTTGGCAGTACTGCAAACTGCAGAAGCTTACACTAATTTCTAATTAACTGATACACATTGTTATCAAATTTGAAAATATTTTTTCTTGCTCTTATTCACTAATATCATAAGATACTCTTAAAACCAGTTTCTGGAGTATACATTAGATCTGGTACGTTAAATACTATTACTAATCAATTTAATTAGAGTGCTGGAATCATTGAGGCAAGTTCTTTTGCACATTTATAGTGAACTTTTTCTATTATTGCTCATTTTTGGTTAAAAAACAGACAAAACAAATTCTACTGATTACCAGGTTAGATTTGCCATTGAGTTCTTCAGTTTTCTCTTTTAGGCCTGCCTTAGTTCTGCAACTTGTGAGTGGGCAGACCCCTACACATGTGTGGAACCCCGCTGACTTTAATAGGAGTCAATTGAAGGATCATGGCCTTACTCTCTACCCTCAGATTAACCTTATGAACCTATACAACTATCTACATGCTCATCTAATTCTAGCTGCTAAGAGTTATTGTGTCAGAGTTTGGTTTCTCTCCGTTATAGACAAGTTCTCTCTTACATGGCAAGATCAAGTGGAAAAGTGTTGTGCAGTTTGACATCAGCTCTTCTTAGGTCAAGAGAAGCCACCCTGATGTGGAGAAGTCAGAATAATCTTGATTAAAAACAAAAACAAACACATTGTATTCCTAATCCTATGCATATGGATTCAAAACTATCTGATTTAGCACCAAAAATACATGGGTGGCAACGTACAAGGAATTTTTAAACACAACAAACATGATTCTTAATTTGTCTTTTTATTTGCAGTTTCCTTTCCAATTGCAATAGGTTTCAGATTTAGGTTTCCTGGAGTATGTTAATTTTATAAGGTTTATGGATAACTAATATATTACAATTGCTTATTATTGTTGGGGTTTAAAAATATTAAGCTATTGGATCTTTTCCTCATATGTTTTT